GTATTGTTTTTAGTGGTTCCTGTAGGTATTACACAATATATCCATAGTTTATCGCAATCTAATGGTGTCAACATATTACAATTTCCACAAAGTATAGAAACATTACCTCCCTTTAGCTTCCCATTTATAATATACATTTAGAACCACATTATACACAGTTTTATAATTTTTGCTTTAACTGTCAAACATAATTTAGGAAATTCAAGAGAAGAGGAAAAGTGTATTATTCTTACTCATATTTTTCTCCTTTTTATCATTTCCTTTCTATTTAGGACTTTAAGCCTACTTTTAGAGTAAGTTTGCTGGCAACAAAGTCCTTGTTTTCATTTGAGAATGACTTGGTTTCCCCATCATTCCTAAAGATATTTTTTCTAGATATAGGTTTCTTGATTGGCTCTTGAGAAATCTGCTGTCATCCTAATTGTTTTTCCCCTACAGGTGAAATGACGTTTTTCTCTCACTGCTAGTTCAAAAGTTTTTTATTTTCATTTTTAGATGTTTGACTGTGATGTATTTTGATATGGACTTCTTTATGTTTGTGTTCTTTGAAATCCATTCAGCCTGTTAAATCTGTAAGTTTGTCTTTTGCTGAATTTGGCGAATCTTCAGCCATTATTTCTTCTAATACATTTCACATTTGTGCTCTCGTTCTCCTCTCCTTCCAGAACTCTAATGACACAAATGTTAGACCTTTTGTTCAGTCCTTCAGGTCCCTGGTACTCTGCTTATTTTGTCATTTGTTTTTCTCTTATTCAAATTGGATCATTCTTTTTTCTCTCTTCTGGTTCAATGATCCTTTCCTTTGCCATTCTGCTGTTGATTCTGTCCATTGAATTTATTTTGGTTATTAGAGTTTTCATTTCTTACAACAGCCATTTGAAAATCTTTGTCAGATAGTTCTAACATCACCTCAGTGTTGGACATCTATTGATTGTCTTTTTACATTTAGTTTGGGAGCTTCTGAGTTCTTGGTATGGTGAGGATTTTATATTATAACCTGGACATTTTGCATATTGTGTTATGAGACTCTAGATCTTGTTTAAAGTGTCTCTTCTAGCTGGTTCCTTTTGGCATTACTCCATCAGAGGAAGTGATGGATGCGTCACCTTGTTATTGCCAGGTAAAGGGAGAAGTCCAGGTTCCTCACTCTGTCCCTTTGCAGAGAGGATCTTCTCATTACCACTTAGTGGAAGTAGTTCTGGCTCTGCACTAGGCCTCCATCCGTGTTTCCCTGGCTGAGAGGGACTGGAGTACCTCATCACTGCTCCCCACGTGGCCTCCACTGACACCAAAAGCAGCTGTGTGGCCTAATTAAAATGGGGCAGTAATGCAAGTCCTGAGTCTCAAACTGGTGCCTTTAGCCCTGGCTGGCGTAGCTCAGTGGATTGAGCGCAGGCTGCAAACCAAAGTGTCACAGGTTCGATTCCCAGTCAGGGTACATGCCTGGGTTGCAGGCCATGACCCCCAGCAACCGCACATTGATGTTTCTCTCTCTCTCTCCCTCTCTCCCTCTCTCTCTCTCCCTCTCCCTCCCCTCTCTAAAAATAAATAAATAAAATCCTTTAAAAAAAAACCTGGCTGCCTTTGATACCACCACAGAAAGGAGGAAGGGGGAGGTGTACCTCATTACTGCCACTTGAGGTGGAGGTTCAGGCTCTGCTTGTGGTTTTCACTGACACTTGACTGCAGGGGTAGGGGGTCCTCATTAGTGCCCTGTAAGGATGAAAGACCCTACTCCCACTGGTGGAGGAACTGGAACACCTCACTGCAACCTGGCGAGAGTGGAAGTTTAGGCCCCCGACCTAGTTTACGCTGATGTGGGTGGGGATGGGGGCCCCAGTTTTTTCTGTGTTTGCCTTGAGTACAGCAGTTAATTGTCTAAAAGTTTCTTATGTGCTTCCCCTTTCTTAGCCCCTTGACTGGAGGGGGCAGGCTGATGAGGGTGGCCAGGGGAGGGAGAGCTTTTTATGGCTGTTTCCACTGGCATTTGGAGATTGCCAGCTTCTTTAGCTCCAAGTCTGACAGATGAGACAACAGAGAGAATTCACCATAGTGCTGTTTGTCAGGTCCCAAAGTGCCTAGCCAGTTTGCTTTCTTCTCCCACTTTTCATGGTCTTATGTTTTATAAAATTATTGTCCAGGCGGATTAGTTATACTTAGTGAGAGGAACAGGGAAAAGCACATCCACCCTACCTTTCTGAAGGTTCAAGTCCTAAACAGCCTTGTTGTATGATACACTGACAGAATCCTCTGGTTCTTTGACTGGTTATGGTATTTTATAGCAGTAATAAAGATGCTTGTTGCCTCAGAATCATGACTGGTGTCAAAACTAGCAGATAATATATTTGGTACATTAAAAAATGTTTACTGAATATCTACCAATTACTTAAAATAGTAACTGCTAAGACTCCAAACTATAAATAAGTTTGATGTTGATATTCAAAGATAATACAACAATTTGGTTTGATTTCTATGCAGTTCAGTAGTTGGAGGGTATGGCATCTGTGTTTCATGACCTAAATGAGCTGAGGCGAACTCTAATGGATAGTATCTTACCTGGAGTACATAAATGATAGTCACAGCACCATCTGGGAAATTGTGAACTTCAGGTGATTCTTAGTACATTCCAGGTAGTTTATCTGGTTAAATGTAAATGTGTGTGTGTGTATACATGTTATTGTTGTTATTATTATTATTCACAAAGCTTTGAAATAAAATAGGAATAAAAAGCATTCTTGTTAACTCTTTAAGTGTTTATGGACACTAAATTGCCTGAATGTTAAGCTAACCTAAGACCTCCACTGCACTGTCTGTAGCAGATAGAAGAGTTTTAGTAGAAAAGATTATTTTTTCTGTAACCACTAAACCAAAGATTCTCACAAATGCAGGCAATTATATTGGGTTGGCCAAAAAGTTTGTTTGACTTTTTCCGTAAGATAGATCTAATAGCTCTTAAATTGTCTTGAACATCATTCGAAACAATTTTGTTAGATTATATTGTGACAGCTGAGAGAGGTGAAGGGAGGGAAAAAGAGAGGGAGAGAAATATCAATGTGTGGTTGCCTCTCACAGTGGCCCCTAGTGGGGACCTGGTCTGCAACCCAGGCATGTATGTGCCCTGACTGAGAATCAAACCAGCAACGCTTTGGTTCACAGCCCGAGCTCAATCCACTAAGCTATACCAGCCAGGGCTACCAGTGTGTATTTTTTTTTTAACTTATTAAAATTGGTGAATTTTTAGTGTAGCCATTTTAATATTGAAGATGGAAGAAAATAAGCAAATTTTCAGCATATTATGCTTTATTATTTCAAGAAAGGTAAAAACATAACTGAATGCAACAAAAGATTTGTGCAGTGTATGGAGAAGGTGCTGTGACTGATCAAACATGTCAAAGGTGGTTTGTGAGGTTTTATGTTGGAGATTTCTCTCTGGACAATGCTCCATGGTCATGTCAGGTAGACCAGTTAAAGCTGATAGTGATCAAATCAAAACATTAGTTGAGAACAATCAACATTATACCACATAGGAGATAGCCAACATACTCAAAATATCCAAATTACTAAAGTTCTTGGTGAAAATGAAAACATGTGTCTTTTTTACAGGAAAAACATTTTGGCCAACCCAATACTGTTTATTAATCATTACTTCAAAGATAACTATGGGCAATAACGCCTCAACTGGGACGAGCATAGAAGATAGAAAAGAACTGATGTTTTCCCTTACATATGGAAAAAATGGCTTAAAAATGTCAGCAATACTAATTTAGAGGAGAAGGAAGAAAGAGAAGAGAAGAATAAATGCAAAAGAGTAGACACTGTATACATGGTTGGAGATGCTAGAATGGAAGTACCATTGATTATAATCATTAATTGAATGAGAACGTAAATTTTTTTTCACAGTGGTAGCACTTTGAATTTCCTAATTAGTTTCATCTCTATAACAGCTTCATAAAAATTTTATGTTTTACAGAGCAACTTTAAAAATTGATGAGTCAATAAGAATGACTCATCCGGTTTGCCTTTTTTGCATTGGTAATCATGAAACTCAAAGCTAAATATAATGCATAGAAATTCTGTTGTCTACAGTGTACAAGATTAGTATTTGCTTATCCTATCTTCTACATGCTTTCTAATTTCTATTTTAAACAGCTTTATCTTATACATATCTTTTATATAAGATATTCTTCCTTCTTAGAACTAGCCAGATAGAGTAAATAAATAATGTGATACATTCTTATATCTGAATTACCTGAGCCTGGGCCCTCCATTTAGGATATGTGAAATCTCAGTAATTCAGAAAGGCTTTTTTGACTTCCTTATCTTCACTTCCCTGTTGCCCCCAGTCAGATCATAAGTGTCACGTGTTTAGAAGTTTCTGTTACAGTGATTGCCCTTTTTGAATTGCAGAATGTACGACACCTCTAACTTCCTTTTCTAGTATGTTAGAGTCTATTAGAACTCGGAATATCTTTCATTTGGGTTGCTGATTGATAACTTGGGATGGTGTTTGTTAACAATTAATAGGATTTTGCATTTGCAGAGAGTAAGTGAAAGGAACATTAGTAGCATAGGTCAAAGTTCTGTTAGCAACCAGTGGAACAGTTAAGCATTTATAGGAAGACAACAGAGATCTCTTGGTTTCCCTGAGAACCCTACTAGGAATGGGACTTTAACAAGTGGCTTTTTTGCAAGGTAACAGAGCAAATCATCTTAAAATTGGAGATTTTGATAGACAGGGTCTTTGGGTCCCATAGGTAATATTAGCATTAAAAAATCTATTTCTAAAGTATGGTTCTTTGTTGTCAGTAATGATGTGAGAGATTGGGGGAGTGACATAATTACATACACAGTTAGAAATTCATAAAATATGAACAGTATCTCAGGTAGACTTGTTTCAGTTCTATTTCATAAACTATTCATGTTTTGATTACCTATTTAGCTAGCCTAAAAACATTTGTTTACAAATTGACAAACTTTTTTATGTTTTATTTTTAAATCAGGTGACTAATAAACATACCAAAAGAATATGGCTGCACAAATGCCAGAAACTGATCAGATAAAACAGGTAAGGTATTATAATTAAGGAAAAAGCATTTTGCAAAACATTTAAGGCACTGTTGGATGCAATCACGTCAGTCAGTGAACTCACAAAATACCTTTATTTTTCAGATAACCCAGGAAAAATATATTTAACAGGAATATCTGACTATATTTTGTAGCTCAGTTAGAGGTGTCCAAACTTTTGGCGTCTCTGGGCCACACTGGAAAAAGAAGAGCTGTCTTGGGCTACACATTAAATACACTGCGACACGTAATCACTAAAAAAATCTCATAATGTTTTAAGTGAATTGACGATTTTGTGTTGGGCCAAATTCTTAGCCATCCTGGGCTAAGGATGTGTGTGTGGCCTGCGTGCCGCAGGTTGGACACCCCTCAAAGTTGAAAAGAACCTTTGATTTCAAATATTACTGTATATTTTGCCTAAATACAAACTTCAGTAAAGTTTCAAAACATCTTTGTTTTATTTAAAGCCCCAAATATTAAAGAACTTTCTACTTTGTTTGTAGTTTAAAGAATTTCTTGGAACCTACAATAAACTTACAGAAACCTGTTTTTTGGACTGTGTTAAGGACTTCACAACAAGAGAAGTAAAACCTGAAGAGGTATGAAAAGTGTTGCCCACTAAAAATTCTCTAAGCTTGTGATCAACAATTTAAATGGGATTCCCCTAGGTATTTTGCTTGTTCCTAGTTATTACAGGAATTTTGGCTGCCTTTTATGTTCCATTGCTTGGGGGAACTGAAGCAGCCGAGGACCCATAGCATTGAGTATAATGATCACCAACCGAGTATGACAGTCCCATTGAACCAAGGCACACTGTTTTTCAGAGAAGATGTGTGGGGCTTGCAGTTACTGTCCCATTGCAGACAGTCTTACTAATTAGCTTTCAGTCAAGATGACCTAGCTAGAGAGACCTGACATGGCTTTTCTGAGAAAATGGCTTTTTACCCTGAGAACTCAGGTTAACTTTGGAAAAGACAAAGCTTGAATTTGGTGGCTTATATGGCATAGGTAGACTCTGAGAACCCAAGCTTAGTAGAAGTCATAACTTTTAATGTCCTCACCAAAATATTTATATATTGGCTTAAGGTGATATAACTTCTTCCACTGGAAGGTACTAATAGACATTCATGTTGAGAACTTGACGTGTGACCAGCAATAAATAAATACTTGTTAAACAAATGACAAAGTTTGATAGATGCTGGGTGTAATATTCTTATTGGTAAAAAGTGAAAGTTTAAGAATTAAGTTAAGGATGGAATTTCTCATTTAAAAGGAACTAACTTGCTACTGGGCCTAGTTTAACAATCAGAATAAGGAAATGGGAATGTGGGTTTTCAGTTAATATTAAAACATACCTGCAGAAAATCTAGTCCAGATTGAAGGGACTTGGCATTGTTTGTAAGGCCTACAAACTCGTAGGTATTCCCTGTATTAATTCTTGTATTAACAGTTGAAAACTACGGTCACCTGCTACTTATTAATACCATTTAATTCTCAGGCACATTGAAAGAAAAGTACCCACTGGTTGGTCTTTTAGAATACATGCATTTTTAAATTTATTTATTTATTTATTTTTAAGATTTTATTTATTTTTAGAGAGAGGAGAAGGGAGGGAGAAAGAGAAGGAGAGAAATATCAATGTGTGATTGCCTCTCACATGCCCCCACTCCCCCCCGGGGACCTGGTGGGCAACCCAGGCATGTGCCCCAACTGGTAATCGAACCACTGACCCTCTGGTTTGCAGGCCAGCACTCAATCCACTGAGCCACACCAGGCGGGTCTGAATACATTTTTTAAGATTAATAATTTGCATTTTTTAGATTAATAATTTGCGTTGCCTCTTCTATCTTCTCTGTTTAATTCTAGACCACCTGTTCAGAACATTGCTTACAGAAATATTTAAAAATGACTCAAAGAATATCCATGAGGTTTCAGGAATATCATATTCAGCAGAATGAAGCCCTGGCAGCCAAAGCAGGACTCCTCAGTCAGCCACGGTAGAGCCCTGAAGGACAGACTCTCCATCGAAGCCTGCCAACACTGCTGCTCTGGAAATGAGGACTCATCTGACAGAATCCCCTGAAAGCAGCGGCCACCATGTTAACCATCTGTCATGACTGTCTGGCAAATGGAAACCACTGGAGAAACAAAATTGCTATTTACCAGGGATAATCAAAATAGAAGGTTCAAAGAAAATAGAAAGATGCAACCTTTGTTGAGGCCTTATTATTCAGGAGCTTAGTCACTTGATTAGAAAAATAAACCAATGTTTCTTCAGTTGTGACTATTAATTTTAAAGCAAAATATGTGTTCAATCATGAATGAGATAGAAATTTTTTATTACTAAAAGTAAAATAAATGGAAGTGTCACTGGGCAGTTGTTTTTACTGTATAGAACCATATTACTCTGACTGGACTGTGGATACGTTGAAATGTTTCTCAATCAGGATCATCCTCCAAGTATTCCTGTTCATTCATGTCTGCCTCAAATTGCTGGTGAACACATAAAATGGTTACTTGCTAATCATTTCAATGCACGATCCTTTTCTTGCCTCACTTCTTGTGTCAGGGTGGGCATTACACATTCTTATTCTAGCTGCATTTTCATACGTATCCTCAGGAAACAACCCACCTGAGACTAGCTTAGGGATGTTTGAGAGCTGGCTGTTAGGCTCTAGCGGAGTCTGTGTTTATTGAAAAGATGAGAACGTGAATGACTGAGTCAGACTGACAACAGCATAGTCTCAGCCCTGGCATGCAATCAGTGCAATAAAAAGGGATCCAAAGTTAAAGTAGTGTCTTGTGGCTGAGTGAGTCCTAAAACACAAGCATTTTTAGGAAATCCTAATTGATGCGTAAGCATAACAAGCAGTTTAGTAAATGTAAGTGGATTAATACCTACTAATAACTGCTTATGAATGGATTTCATATGATAACAAACTCAAGTTGTACTTAAGAAAACACTAATTAGCCTGTATGTTTAAGTTTCCAAAGTGATATCTATGTTTTGTCTTACGCAAAGTAGAAGTGTTGTTCTGCTTTGATAATCTACTGTTTTCTATGTTACATGTAATTTTTAAGCCATTAGGTCATTTAAGTAACAATGCCACTTAACTTAAAAGGCCTCCGTTGACATGACAGTCAGCCAATAACTGTGGCATCTTTTTAAAGTGCAAAGACAAAATATTAGCAATGCTATCTTTAAAACTGAAATGCTGAAACCTGTATAATACTCTACAAAATGTCCAATACATTATAGTCAAAGAAACAGGAAAGTATTGGCTTGTTTCACCTTAAGGGAAGAAAAGCAATAAAAAAAAATAAGAGATTTGGCTCATTTAAAACTTTGGGCCATTCACACATACTTTACTGTTTCTGTGTATTCAAGCCCAATATAGTCATTCTGTCCATTTCACAAAGGTAATTAAATACATGCTCACCTGGCAAAGAAGGGGAATGTTGTGTAACAGCATCTCAAACACCTTGGGAGGCAGTGTGTGCTTAAAGACCTTCAGAAGTTCCCTCGGTTGCCTGCACACTAAAAGGGCATTGCTGAGGTGTTCAACCCCCATTCTGTGCTCTCCTGAAACAGATTAAGTTCCGAGCAAAATTTTAATGTTCTGTAAAATATATATTATTTTTACCAAGAAGTCACCAAGCATTAAAACTTAAAAGGCATATCAAGATAAAGCCTAAGTAAACAAACCTCATAAAGGGGATAAATGTGGGCGGAAGTATTGAGCTGCCAGTTAGATCCACTGTGGTTAAGGTGAAATATGAGTAACTTTATGACCCAAATCACAGTAAGTAGTCTCACTGTTTAAAAGTACATTCTTGCCTTGGAAATACTCTTCAACTTAGGTATTCAGAAGGTGGGTATTGGTTCTTCCAAAGGTTGTGTTAATTGACATGAGGCAGGTTTTCTTTACACGTGTGACTGCTAAAATTGTAGATAAAACATCTGTTTTTCTGGCTAAAATAACACTTCTTAAAAATTGAGTTTATTGTTAGTTGGAACAAGATTTAGTGTAACATGAATTATATATCTGGAAGAAGAAAATCAGATTATGAACTTTCATTTTTAAGTAAATTTTTAAAATGAGTTTTAGGATGATTGGCTATAAACTAAGAATGAAAATTTGTGAAGAGTAGAAATTAAAGAATTTCTGTTCAAGTTAGAACATAAAATCACTTAGTTTCACTTCCTTGTTTTGGGAAACTGAGGCAAAGATCAGTGGAATGATGCCAGGCTTCAAAGCTAATTAAAGCTTCGGGCCATCACACATACTTGACTGTTTCTGTGTACTCGAACCCACAGATCAGTAATGAACCTGGGGACTACTGTGTGCTGCATCTCTTCCAGGGATAGGCAGTAACAGACTGAAATGATGACATACATTTAATATAACTAGTTAGGAGATAGAATATATTTCTCTGTAGTTAAATATCATTAGATTCTTATTAATTGAAATGAATTTCCCATTTGTTGGTTGAAATACGTGGTTGTATGAAAAGTGCATGATAGAAAAAAATGTTCCCCAAAGATTTGTATTAAGCTTAAAAACTGAGAAAGACATGACCTAATCTAGATACATAGACAAAAAGCCCTGTTGATATGTAGGTTTTATAACTTAAGGTTTTATGTCTATAGACACCTAATTTTACATTTTTAAAAGATTTTATTTAATTATTTAGAGAGAGGGGAAAGTTGGGGAGAAAAAGAGGGAGAGAAACATTGATCAGTTACCTCTTGAACACGCCCCAGTCAAGGACCAGGCCCACAACCCAGGCATGTGCCCTGACCGGGGATTGAACTGGCAACTTTCTTGGCTGAGCCATGCCAGCCAGGGCTAATTTTGCATTTTCAAAGGAAGACATTCATTGCTGGGCTTTTGGTAACTTTTCTTTGGCATGTAAAGAATCTATTTTTATTAATATTTTTAAATACTGAATTGAGAGAGCGAGAGGAACATCTATTTGTTCCACTTATGCACTCATTGTATATGCCCTGGCCAGGGATCAAACTTGCAACCTTAGTGTATGGGGACAACACTAACCACCTGCACTCAGGCCAGGACTAAAGAAGCTATTTCTTAGATGAAGTATTTCACTGTAATGTTTATTTTAAATTAATAAAATTACAGCTTTATGAAAATGATGCATTAAGTCAAAACACTTGGGATGTATTGAGCATTTTAAAGAAAAAGATATAAGTGACTATTCTCAAGTTGATGGAACTAATGTGACACAAAAACAATTTGACCAATTAAGTCAACCAACACAATCAAATCCCTGGCTCCACGGTCCCATACAGACATTGCCACAATTGTGATGGCTATAGGAGAGCTGTACAACCCAACGACCAAGTAATGAAAATTGGGGGTGGTAGCAGGGGCAGGTGGAGAAAACTGAAAAGGATTACAGAAAACTGGGTGAAAAGTTACTGCACTGGAATACGGGTTCTCGATGTTAGATTTGTATTGTCAAAACCTGGGGAGGTTTAACAAACAATGCTTGGGGTCCACGCCCAGAGATTCTGATTTGACTGGTTTAGGGTTTGGTGGGGATTTAAAGAATAAGCAACCAAGACTGAGAACTGCATCAGAAGTAAAATACAGAAGTAACATAACCCTTAAAGAGCTAATTAATCAATTTAGGGGTTCACAGATAAAATGTTACCACCTTTGAAAGGGAAAGATCTTAAAACAAGTTTGCAAGTACTGTTTTAATCATCTCAATGTCTGTAACATACTCACCTCAAAGTCTAAACTATTACACGATAGCTCTTAAGCAGAGAATAAAAATAAAATGTAAAAAAATAACGTTTTTTCTTTTGACTTAATATTCAGAATTTTCCTCTCCATATTTATACTATCCCAATTCAATAAATGTTAAAGCTGAGAGGTTCTATTTTAATTGCTTCTATATCCAGGGAGTATCCATATCTAGGGATTACTCAAGGTTTCATGAGGTCCTAGTTTATATAATTTGGGGGTGCCTATTTAAGAAAATATAAAATTATGAATACAAAATGGGTAGGATCCCTCCCAGCACCTTTAAAGAGGCCCGTGCACTTCATTACCTTTGTGTAAAGTCACTCCTGTTTATATGATTTAAGTCAGTTCTACATATTCATTTTGTTGTCACTAATATTTAATAGATATTTTAGTCCATTTATAAAACTACCTAAAAGATTAGTACTGAATACAATACTAAAACTTCAAACTATGATTAATGTGCAGTGATTCTGAATGGCTGCAATATATTTTTAATTTCTCAAAGCCTTTATCATGTTTTTTGTTCATCCATTTTTTAAATTTTATTTTTAGAGAAAGGGGAAGGGAGGGAGAGAGGGAGAAACATGGATCAGTTCCCTCTCACACATGCCCCGACTGGACATGCCACGGCCTAGGCACATTCCCTGACTGGGAATCGAACCAGTGACCTTTCGCTAAGTGGGACAAGGCCCAACCAACGGGGGCCACACTGGGCAGTGCCTTTATCATGGTTTTAAGCCACAGATTAAAGTAACAACCTTGGGGATTACTGTGGATTGTCCAGGATCTTAACTTCCTTTTTATCTTTACAAATCCTGGAGAGTGCTACTCTCTTCAATGCAGGTTGAAAAACAAAATCTTAAAAAAAAAAAGACTAAAAAGTGTTGAAGCAAAAACAGGTATAGGTGATAAGAGATGCAAGAGAATTTGTAACACGTGAAAAAAAGATGCATAAATGGATGTAATGCTCTTTGTCCAGCAACATCATTTACTCCTTAGATAAGAAGCCCCACCCCCAAAATGTTCCTTTCTAGTATTTAACACCAGGATAAAAACATGGTCCTTATATGTACTAGCTATAAAACACTGATATTATCTACCATCATTTTACCTGACAATACTGTGTTTTCTCTCAAATCTATCTGGAATTGGCTGGGGGTAAATTATAATTCAAAATACAGGTCATGCCATTCAGTGCAAAGTAATCCCTACAAGCATCACTACAACAGACAGGAAAAGAATGGCCATTCATAATGGTTTTATCATCAAAAACAAGTGTATTGTTAAGAATATTCTAAGAAGATAGGAAATTTTTCTAAGGCAGTAAAAATTTTTAGAGATTGATTCCTACAAGTAGTCATTTGGAAAGTTCATTTGCTCAGAATTGTACCTGACAATAGATGAGGTGTTTTTGCATTTGGCTTTGCTCCTCCGTTGGCACCTCAAGACTACAGCATAAACTGGAGCAATAACTGACATAACACATTGAAGCTGGATAGTGTGGTGCAGTGAAGATGCTGGCACAGCTTCTCTTTAAACTGAAGTACATCAATTAACACAGCTAGTACCCTGGCTGGTGTGGCTCAGTGGACTGAGTGCCAGTCTGTGAATCAAAGGGTCCCTGGTTCAATTCCCAGTCAGGGCACATGCTGGGTTGCAGATCAGGTCCCCATTTGGGGGCCTGTGAGAGGCAACCAGTTGGTGTCTCTCCCTTTTTCTCCCTCGCTTCTCCTCTCTAAAAATAAATCAATGAAATCTTTTTAAAAAAACACACATACACATATCTAGCTAGTTAACTATTGGACATAGATACCAATCAATAAATGAACATAAACTACCACAAATAACTGCTTACAAAAGAATGTTTACATTCTTACCTCTGGATAACCAAAGTTCTCCCATTAGTACCTCTTGCAGAAAAAGTTCTTGCAATTTTTCATTCCTTGCTGGATCCCACAACTAAGATTCACAAAAAAATTAACAATGAGTAATGAGTGTCAGGAATATGGTTACTAATCACAATTACTTAGTTTTTATTTTAAAAACCACATCTTGAACCTAGTTGCTAAATCCAAAGTATGACAAATCCAGTTGTTCTTCATAACATTTACACTGTTTTCTTAAAATGGAGTACAATTTCAGGTGATAAAAAAAATACATGTCATATTCAGGTTAGGTTGAGATGCTTGCAATACTTCATCCATATTTTGCTCAGCTTACTAAGTACACATAGAAGAAATCCTACCATAATTAACTATAACAAAGGTTGCTTTGTACGTTGCAAAACTGCTTTCTTGCCTGGGGTATTAGCATTGTGTGTTGATTTGGCAAAGGGCGTGGTGGAGAGCTGGCAGTGCGGCTGGTGTCGGGAAGGTTGCTTTGGTTTGCTGCAGCCTGGTTCATGAAGGTGACCAGGGTCACAGGACGCCACATCATTGGTCCCGTGCCCAGGGCTGGTCTTTCAAGGTAGAGTGAGCAACCCCTAGCCCAAGTATCGACTCCACTGCCAATCATTTCAGCTTCAGTCTTTTACGTCCAGAGAGTTTTTGTGTCTGTTTTCCAAGAATTCTCTTTCTAAAATGGGATGAGCCTCGGGAAGGGGGTCATATTTTAAGCTCTTATCAGCAAATGTGCTGATGGTCAATAACAATCAAAGGCTTCGTTCCACAGACAGTTAATGAGCACTAAAGAATGAGCCTCGCTAGAGAGAGATGGATAGGGAAGGAAACTACGTCCCCTGTGCCCATCCCCAAGGAGCCCAGAGTCTGACCGGGAAGGGGCAAGCACATTGAAGACATAGCACATCAGCAGTGTCATCCTGATAATTTCAATAAAAAGGAAAATTAATTCCATTCTTTAAAAAAGATCAATAACATATTAACAATAAAGTCCCACATCCTCTGGCACTCAATGTACAGAGACACTGCATATGGTTGGAGAATCAGGGGAAGCTTCTCAGAAAAGATAGCATTTGGGATGCGAAGAAGCTCAGTGAAAGCCTGATGAAGAAAGACTATAGACCATGGAAAACTGCAGGGAAAAGAAATCAAGTGACCTCTATCTGGATTATGAGAGGGTGAATATTGCAACAATGATAATTACCATATGTTATTTGCAACCCTTAGGAAAATGATGCCCTCAGTATGGAAGGCACCTACAGAAGGTTGTGGTGCCAAGCTAAGGGGGACTGGTTTTACAGCGGCAGAGCAGGGAGCTATTGCAAAGAGTTACATGTTCAGAGCTGCCACTTAGAAACTGTATCAATCACAGAGGCAGGTAGACAAGTTAGGAAATCACTACAATAGCCTGGGTAAACGGTAATAAAAGCCCGGAGTAGTGTGGAGGCAATGGAAATAGAAAGGGAATAGGGTGTGAGTTTAGAGCATAGAAAAATAAGAATTGGGGACTGATTGTGGAGGATGAGGTTGGAATGTAAACAAGAGGAGGCAGGGTCACAGTAGGGAGGCTAGTGATACCAAAGAACATGACAAGTTAACCACGGGGGAGCAGGGGCAAGGGATGAGATGATGAATTTACTTCTGAACACACTAAGATGAGATGCCAATAGAGCATCTAGGCAGTAGGCTGGCAAGTAGATGAACTTCGGGACCCTGGGTCTAGAGTAGTACATCTGAGGTCACCTGTGGAGAAGGGAGGGAGCTTCCAGGGAGACAAGGGAACCAGGCAGAACCTGAGGGCAGTGTTTCACAAAGAATCAGCTGATGGAGCTGTTAAAACTGCAGTTTCTTGGGCTCTACCTGGACCTACTGACTCAATCTCTAGGAGCAGGGCCCAGGAATCTGCATGTTAACAAGTTTCTAGCTGATTCTGATAAATTCTAAAGTCTGAGAATCAAAGCCTAAATAGCCCTTGGCCTACCCCTGAGTTCCCAAGTCAGAACTGTCTGGCCCTTGAGTCAAATAATTTATATTTTAACAGACACCCCAGGAAAATCTAATGCAGATGGTCCATGGATCATACTTAGGTGAAGTATAAGGGCCTGAGAGTGAGTGGGAAGGGAAACCCTAGAAAAGATGGAAAGGGAAATTTCTCTGTGCATTAGTTTATTCATCTATAAAATTAGAAGAATGGCCCTGGCTACTGTGGCTCAGCTGGGTGGAGTGTCATCAAGTAGCCGAAGGGTTGCAGGTTCAATTCCCAGTCAGGGCACATACCTAGGCTGCATGTTTGATCCCTGGTTGGGGCAGGTACAGGAGGCAACCAATTGGTGCTTCTGTCTTTCATTGATGTTTCTCTTTCTCTTTCTCCTTTTCTCCCTCCTCACCCCCTTTGTCTCTCTCTAAAAGCAATGAAAAAAAAAATGTCCTCAGATGAGGATTAAAAAAAATTACAAGAACAGAGTTGTCATGATGATTATAGAAAGAACATTTGAAAAATCCTGCATCTGTCTCTTCCTCATTTGAAATCATTCAGATCTTCACTACTTGTCATCTGGACTGCCACCCACAGATTTTTCCGGACTTTGACTTCCCTCCTCTACTCCACCCTCAAAAAAAAAAAAAAATGCATCCATTCTCTGAAATAAAGTCACCATCACTAGTTATCCACCACAACAGAAAAATATCCAAACTTTCCAGTTTGGCATTCAAAGCCCTCCACAATATGACACCAAACTACCACTCAGCTATCTCTTTGGCCACAACACCCCTTAAACATTGGGATTTCGTGGTCTGTGCCTCTGCACAAGCTACCTAAAATAAACAACGGTAATCAACAAATATTTACTGGGCACCTACCACATACTAGACACTGTTCTAGGCACTGAACAGGCGATGGAGAGTAAAAAAACAGACAAGGTCAATCAAATCATATTACAAACAAATCATTTGTAACTGCCTCCAGCCCCACCACCACCAAGAGCAATGACGGAGGGGGTGCGGAGCTGAACCAGGCTCGGGCCCCAGTCAGAGACGTCAGGGAAAGCATCTCAACTCGCAGTCCAGCTCTTTGGCAACTCCCTGCCCTGCTTCCTTAACTATGTCAACTACACCTTTATTCTCTAAGTGACTCTGTCCCGAAACCCCAGAAATCTGACTCCTGCCTTTCCATGAGCCTTTCCTTCGTCAGCACAAACTATCTGTTCTTCCTGGACAATTTATCTCACGTCCTCATCATCAGTTTCACTGACACCACCGCAGCCTGGGGTTTGTGTTACCTCTCGCCTGTACCGCTGCAACTGCTCTTCCCTTCCTCTGATCCATCGCGCACACTCCTGCCTGATTAGTCTAACCTGAAAAATTTTTTATTTCCTTTTTTTAAAAGAATGCATGCTCAAAAAATTTCAGTAATTCCCTCGCTGAATCTGAATTCCTTAATTTCCTTAATGTAACCTCTACTTAGTTCTCCATCCTCACCTCCCACTATTCCCCACTGTGACTCCTTTGTCAAATTGATCTACTGAATAGACCCAGCAGGCCCCCCTCACCTTTAAGTAAGGGTGCAGTTCACTCTGCTCTGAATAGTGTTTCGCCTGAAACCAAGACCCACATTTAACACATCCTTCCAAGCCCAGATCAATGCCACCTCTCCTCCAAAGTCTTCTGTGAAGAACTGCGTGTTCCAAAGACAGCCACAGCAATATTCCCAGTTCCACCTGCACTCCAGAAGCTTGCCTCCCCTATCAGAGGTGGACTCTATTTCCTCTTCCCTTAAAACTGAGCAGGCCTCAAGGTGGGTGTACACACACACACACACACACACACACACACGTTTGCTTGCTCCTTGGGAGACCCATCATGAGATTTTTTGTGTGATCACGTGTGACAATGTATTTATTTAATGTGTGGCCCAAGACAACTCTTCTTCTTCCAGTGCGGCCCAGAGAGGCTGAGAGGTTGGACACCCTGGTTGTATAGCTGCCTTTTCATAACCCCCAAATGGTTCTCCAGTTCTTCCTTTGCCACCACATTTCAAGGAAGACCATGCCACATGAAGAGGACTTGTGCAAATGTTCTGGCCAACAGTCCCTGCTAAATGGACACCCAGCATGAAATGCCTGCCATGTGAGGAAGTGAGCCTCCTGATGACCCAGCGCTTAGTCCTGGAGTCAACCTGCCTGGAACTGAGTGCAGCAGGAAGGTGCAGTCTTCGAGGGACTCGGCTCAAATTGCAAATGCAGGAGCAAAACAGATACTGTTTTAAGCCACAGTGCCTTAAAGCAGCAATAGGTAAGCAGAACTCTCTCCATGATAATTCTGCTCTGAAAATGATCCTCCTTTTTTTTGAGTTCTTGTTAACACTGGGGCAGGAGTCACTCTTCCCCTATGGCTAGGTTCTGCCACAGCTAGGACAATGCCTCACACATAGGAGGCTCTCAGCTAGGCAGGTGTTGACGGACCAACTGAATATGAAGGTTAAGACTTAACTCCTCCTGAAAAGTCATAGAAGAACCTAAGAACCCTCCATAGCACTCTTAAAGCTATGTGAGTTAGTTAAGTTGGGCCACCCAAGATGATTGTGATTGATATCTTTTTAAATTATTTTATTTATTTACTTTTAAAGAGAGGGGAAAGGAGGGAGAAAGAGAAGTAGATAAACATCGATGCCAGAGACACATTGAAGGTTTCCTCTAGTAAACACCCCTACTGGGGGCTGAACCCTCAACCCAGGCATGTGCCCTGACGGAGGATCCAACAAGCGACATTTCACTCTATGGTATGATGCCGAACCAATGCAGACACACCGGTCAGGGCGTTATTGATATCTTTGAAAACGACTAATCAATTCCGTTTTGAAGGAAGAGGGGATGTGCTCTGCTTCTGAGCTAGAAAGGCGCCGCGGGACAGAAGAGGGAGTACTGCCCCAGGCCCCGCGGTTTAGGGCGGGTGGGCTCTGAAGTCAGAGGGCAAAGGCTCCTCCGCCTTCTTCCGATGAAAAGCACCTGTTTCTACCACGTTTTTAAGCAGGTGTCCAACCTGTGGCCCGCAGATTCCCAGCAGCCCTGGATGGCTATGAATGCGACCCAACACAAAATCGTAAATTTACTTAAAACACTATGAGATTTTTTGATCACCTGTGGCAATGTATTTAATGTGTGGCCCAAGACAACTCTTCTTCTTCCAGTGCGGCCCAGAGACGCCAAAGGGTTGGACACCCTGGTTGTATAGCTGCCTTTTCATAACCCCCAAGTGGATCTTCATTCCTTCCTTTTCTTTTGTAAGCGACAGTAAAAACTAAACCCTGAACTCAAAGTGGGCTCGGAAGTGTCCGCTCAGGAACCAGCCAGGGGAACCCTGAGCCACAGCCAGGACCAGCACCGGTAGGGATGGGGTGCGGGGGTAGGGGGGTGGTTACTCGCTACAACTCCACCTCAGCGTCCCTAAGCACCTCACCTGGGCGCCCTGACCCTCGGTCTTTTGCTGCTGGGCTCTTCTTTCTGCAAACACAACGTGGCACGTGCTGGTTGGGAGCCACCCGGCCGCCGGCGTGCGCCCCTCGGCCCCTCGGTGGCTGCGGCACCCGCGGGCCCGCCCGCCCGCTCCGCCCCTCCTCCGCCGGCGTCGGACTCACTGTCCCGCAGGCGGCGCTTGAACGCGGGGTCACCACGCCGCTTCCAGTCGAAGTAAACACAGTATCCCAGGAAGGCAACGGCGCCACAGGCCGCCAGGGCCGCCAGGAGGCGGAGGAGGGAGCGGACGCAAGGCATCCGGCCGCGGGCGACCCTTGAGCCGAGCGTTGGGCGCGGGCCGGCCGCCAGGCAGCCGGCGTCGGCGCTGCGCCCTCCCGGGCCTCGGGGCTTCCAGCGCGCAGGGCCGCCGGCTTGCTGAGCGGCGCGCCGACGCCTCGCACCGCTGCAGGCGGACCGAGGAGGAACCGAGGACCGCGGGGCGGGCGGGGGTGGGGAACTGGTGGGAGATCACGCCGTCACCCAGGAACAGAGCTCAGTTTGAACCTGGGCCTCTCGCACTCCAAATACTGAACCCCATTTACCCAAACACACCCCTGTCCTTACACCTACGACTCCCAATCAGTATGTCTGCAATCTGGTTACCTGGGTAACTGGATCCTCCTTGGGCCTCTGTTCCCTCACCTACAAATCTAAGTTGGTTCAAAGCTTTGGTCATCTAGGCTCTGGAGCACAGCACTCCCCGCTGAGCTCCTGAACACTAGCCATGCTCCCCAACCTGGTCTGCGTGGTCGTCACCTGAGAGGATCCAACAGTTCAAAGTACCCAACCACCTTAGCTCAGCAAAATGGAGGAAAGCGGGATTTTGAAGCAATAATATTTAGCCTAGGGAAAAAGAAGTTACCTAATTTGCTGAGCTGAGCCTGACAGCCAAAGGTCCCAGAGCAAACCCACTGAGAGAACCATACTTACAGCCCAGAAAGGCAAGACTTTATTCCAAATATTCGAGTTTTGATTTTTATACTAAGCCAAAGAGAAGGCATAAGCTAGGTAAGAACCTAAAGAAAGAAATTATTTTTTTGGTTATGTTCAACTGCTCTTTACAATGATATATTTCTAGTGTGTGCATAGCAAGGTACTCATCACTGCTGGGACTACTGCGGCGGCTGAGAGGCAGCCCAGGCCCTCACAATTTGAGTGAGTAGGTGCAAATCACATACAGTTGTTTTGAGTGCTGTGTATTTCTTTCTATGATGACTCAGTCTGATAGTTGGGAACTTGATTGTAACACAGAAATAAAGGGCAACTTCAGAATCCAGTGTTACTGGTGATCTCGGAGCAGTTTTTGGTTCAGAATCTCGGTGACGGATTTAGCCAGGCTCCAAATAATCTTTTAGGCTGACTGCTCTTACCTTCTAATAAAACCACTCTACCACCTTCCCACCCCTTTCCATCCTTCATTTATGCTGAACTCACAGTTAAGCCCAATGGTACATGGAAGGGGATGGAGCCAGAGAAACTGTGGAGCAAGGTGGGTGGGTGGGACAAAGTAAACAGTTGACATGTAACAGTCTTAGAGTTATTGCAGCAATTAGAAATAAACAGGTTACTAGAGCTGAAATTACCACAGAGACCACGTTGGAAAGTAACTGAAAAAACTTTAAGGCAAGTTTCTATGGTAAATATAAATTTTTCTTCTCAAATATAGACACCGTTCTCACTAATTTGGTGATCAGAATTCCTAAAAAGCTTTGGTCATTTTCCAAATTGAGAGAGCGTTAACAGTTGTCCCCAAAGCATAGTTCTATGCTGGATAATAGCTCTCTCCTTCTTTTCAACAGCTTTATTGAGGTATAATTGATATACAGTAAATTGAACACGTTTTAAGGTACAACTTGAAACATTTTAAGTTGTATACATCCCTAAAACCATCAAGATAGTGAACACATTCATCGTCCCCCAGTTTCCTTAAGCCCCTTTTTAATCCCTTCTTCCACCCTCCTTCACCTCCCCACCATCCCCTGCTTTGTTCCTATAGATTAGTTAGCATTTTCTAGATCATTGTATAGATGGAGTCGCACAACATATACTCTTATTGGCTTCTTTAATTCAGCATAATTATGTTGATTCATCCATGTTGTTTTATCAATCATTTTTATTGGTAGGTAGCATTACATTTTATGGCTATACTACAATGTGTTTAGCCATTCATCTGTTGATGAACATTTGGATTGTTTCCAGTTTTTGGCTGTTAAAAATAAAGCTCCTATAAACATTTGTATATAAGGCCTTATATGGTCACATCTTTTCTGTTGTCTTAAATAACAGCTAAAACCCAGCCAGGTAGTACAGCTGGTTAGACTGCCATCCCAAGGCACCAAGGTTGCCTGTTCAACCCTGGTTAGGGCACACTCAAGAATCAACCAGTGAATGTGTAAATAAGTGGAACAACAAATCGATGTTTTTTTTCTTTCTTTCTAAATGTCATTATCACTTAAAGTCAATAGTTTATATTAGGGTTCATTCTTGAGGTTGTACAGATATATAATGGTTTTGACAAATGTATAATTACATGTATCCATCATTATAATATTACACTGAATAGTTTTACTCTATGTAACATATATCCAATCCCTTCCTCTCCCAACTCTTGATCTTTTTACTGGCTCCATAATTTTGCCTTTTCCAGAATGTTCTATACTTGGAGTCATACATAATGTAGTCTTCTCAGATTGGCTTCTTTCACTTAGTAGCATGTATTTAAAGCTCTTTTAATGTCTTTTCATGATTTGATAGCTTATTTCTCTTAGTGCTCAATATCCCATGGTCTGAATGTTCCACGGTTTATTCATTCACCTGCTGAAGGGACATCTTGGTTGCTTCCAAGTTTTGGCAATTGTGAATACAGCTGCTGTAAACATCTGTGTGCGCTTTTGTGTGGATGTTAACTCATTTCTATACACACACACAAGATCATGATTGCTGGATTATATCATAAGAGGATGTTTAGTTTTGCAAAGTAAAGCCAAAGTCTTTCAAATTGGCAGTACCATATTTGTGCTCCCACAAGCATTGAACGAGAGCTCCTGTCGTCCCGAGTTCTCACCAGCATTTGGTATCATCAGTGTTTTGAATTTTTGCATTCCAGTAGGTATGCAGTGCTATTTTAGTTTGCATTTCCATGATGACATATGTGTGAACCATTTTTTCATTTGCTCACTTGCTGTGTAACTTGTTGAAGTGTCCGTAAAGGTCTTCAGCCCATTTTAAAATTGGATTGTTTGATTTCTTATTGTTGAATTTTGAGTTTTTTGGGGGGCTTTCTGGTGTATTGCAGATAAGAAGTTTGCTGTGGTCTGACTGTGCTTTGTCTCCTCCTTCCCCACCCCCCAATTCCTATGTTGAAAACTTAATTCCTAATGATGATATCAAGAGGTGGGGCTTTTTGGAGATGATTAGGTCATGAGGATGGAGCTCTTCTGATTGAGATTAGTGCCTTTACAAGAGGCCCCACGAAGCTCCCTACCCCTTCCACTGCAGAAGGCCCCGACCTGACCATGCCGGCACCTTGATCTTAGACTTCTCAGCCTCCAGAATTATGGGAAATGTTTGTTTATAAGCCTCCCAGTTTATGGTCCTTTTGTTATAGCAGCCCAAACAGACTACAACACGGTTCCTTATCAGATGTCCTTTACAAATATTTTTTCTGGTTTAAGTCTTGTCTTCTCATTCTCTTGATGAACACTGTTTATAAATGCTAATTTGTGATCAGTGTATCTTCTTTGGTGAGGTATATATTCAAACCTTTGTGAAAAGAACGCCAAAGACAACTTTTAAATGTCTGGCTTTGTACACAATGATCACTAGGTAAAAGGACAACGACAACAACAACAGCAACAACACAGAAACAACAGTAATTCAAAAGTAATTTTTCTTAATATAAGTAAACATAGTTTTTGACCTTTTTACTAGGTTAGATGCTAGACCAGGCACTTTGTGGGACCCAACGGTGACTAAGGAGTATGTAAGGAGCTGAACATCTAGTAAGTAGTAGACACATGCATGAGTAAATATAATACAAGGTTAAGTTGTTAAGAAAAATAATACAGATTGAAAAGGCTACCAGAGCATAAAAGAGGGTGATATTTTGGTAATGGTAAGTCACTAAAAGCTTCATGGAAAAGTAGCTGCTGAGATATCTCTGGAAAACTAGGGATCAGAGTTGTGGGGGGAAACAGAGGAAGCAAAAGGTAGAGGTGGCTGGGTGCAAGGTCTGTGCGCTGCCTTAATAGTTCTGCTTGACCTGGCTCCTGCCTCAGGTCTATTCTTGTCCTGGCTTTTTCTACCAATTTCTCCTCCCTCATGTGCTTGAAGCACTTCACTCTCTATAATCTTTCTCCTCCCGCTCACCTAGCCAATTCGTAATTGTAATTGAGCTCAGTTTTACTGCTCCACAAAGCCTTCGCAGACCACCAGTACCTTCAAACTTGGGCTCTGTATTGTTAACTCATGGTGTGCTAAACTTCATATGCTTATCACACCTGCAGTAAAGAATTACATGGGTTAAATGTGTTAACATCTGCCTCAGTGGATTACCCACTCCAGGAAAATACAGGGACTTTTTTCTGTCTTGTTCGCTGTTGTGGCTCCTGGGCCTTAGCACAATACCTGCCACATAGAAGATAACTAACTATCGATGCAGAATTCTGGTAATAGTTTTTATGTGTGGCTGAATATAGCTTCAAATACTTTCACAATGTTTATAGCTATGTTAAATTACAGCGCTTATAAAAAAGGGATATAAGCAAATTAATAGCTTAATCCATATAGATTTCCATAATTTAAAGAAGACAATATGTATGTGCTAACATAGGTACAAACATCTTTGAGTAAAGGACTGGAAAACTTGAACTTTAACACAAATAACAAAGAATGGAAGTACACAATGAATACTAAAATAGAAATCTCCATAATCTTTAAATAACTTGATTTTAATAGATAACACCTTCCATTTTAGATATTAAAATGCTTGTATACTTTTACTGTTTTAGTCACATGCAAGACCTATCTATTCAAAGTTTAGCTAAATTCAAAATATGCCCAATATTTGAATTTAATACCTAATCAACATTCACTTACTTTCATAAGCCTTTCTAGCCCCCACACAAAAGGATTTTAACAGTGTCCGTATACCCATTCAATGAATATATAATTTTGCTCTCCGTAACAAGGTCCCAATACTTTATTACCAGATTTGTATCAATTAAAAGGGACAATATTCAAGATTTACTAAATTGCTACCGAAGGAAATCATTAAAATATCTAATGTATGAATCGAAGGTTAGCTTCTTCCTACTTCCAACTGGATTTGAATGACACACTTTTTCATTTTTATAATCAAACATTAGAAATATTTTATTGTGAAAACTGAAGGATATATTGAATATGTTGTTTTGTGAAGTCTGCTTTTCCAACTGTAAGTTACTGGCACTCAGGAAAACAACAATCACTTAAATGAAAACTAAATATATAAAGCCTATGTTTAAAACATGGCCTTTATTAATACTGCCCACTGAGCTCCATTTTTATTTTACATTGAAATACTTCAGCTTTGCAAAGAAAAGACAGAGAAGTGCATTTTACAAGAGTACGTTTTTGTTTTTAATTCTCTGCGAAAATGGAAGGAATCTGAATCACAAAGTCACAATGTGGTAAATGAAATTAAGAAACAATGATCTTAGTAATGCTATGCCATCACTAGGGTTTGGCTCTGACTTGGTTCTTATAAATCAGATCCTGACATACAGTCTAGAGCATCTATGTTATTACTCTACAACATATTAAACACAGAAAAGGAGGTTTTTAAAAAAACCCTTTCAATGTACAAACATGAATTTAAAAACCGATTTTAAAAAATCACTTTTTTACATAATGTATATGGCAAAACTGCTTTAAATACATGATTTTGGAAGAATTATTTACAAAATGTATCAGTCTGTGGAACAATTCACAGACATGGCATACATAATTGCTTTACCTAGTTGTTGCATCTCAACTTTGGGAGATATAAATTTATTCGGCAGTATAGCAAAAATAAAAACTGTGACAAAGTATCTTAAGGGCAACCAAAAATTTGATCCTCAAAACAGTTTAAATACTAGGACTGCCAAAGTGTCTAAAGGAGGACACGCTTTGCTGATCCAGATGCCCATTTACAGCTCCATACTGCTGGAAGGACTGAGTCAGACTCCCCTCAACACAGGCACAGCTGCGGGATGCAGCCTCCGGGAAAAGGGACAGCTAGAGCCACTGTCATCCAAAGAGTGAATTAACCTACAATTTTCTTTTTTTCAATTTTATTAATATTTTAAAAAATACATAAAAATACAACATCCAATGTCTGAATAAATATATTTAACAAGTTGCAAGATAATACCTTATTTTACACAAAATTTTCAGCTTTAGAAATCTTGTTAAATAACTTCATTGTTGTTATATATTTCATTTTTGTATTTTTGTAACAAAATAAAAACTCTGAAATTACATAGAAAAAAGACAAAATATTTTTGTCAAGGGATAAGATAGTCCACTGAAAACTTATTCACAATTCCACTGTAAACATTAATAAACATTAAAATATTTGCATAATCGTGTGCTCAAAAATACTATAAAAAGTGGAAGACTTATTACAACTGTAGTTTTCAGTCAACTACACTTCCTTTCACAATTTATTTTGTCCCATTTACACCTTTAAGCCTGGGCACACTGCTGAACATATACTTTGGCAGTTCTAAATAGCAAGTGCTTCCACAAAAACAAAAACAAAAAACACAACACAACAAAAAAACAAAACCAACAAAAAAAACCCCCCCAAAAATGACAACAATAAAAAAACACATACAACATAAAACCCCCTACTCACCAAGTGTTCAAACACATCTTAGTGAAAGTGCAACAGTAACTATTCAGCTGGATATTTTGATGTTTGTCGTGTGCACTTGTCTATGATTTCTATTAACACCTGAAACTTTACTATACAAATTCAAATTTGCTAAGTGCCCATTTTCTATCTTCACAAAATAATGAAAAAAAAATGAGGAAAAATTATGAAAAATATGCAGGCTGCCTAACCTTCCGTTATTAATCAGCTTATTTTTTTGCAACAGAAAAAAGAAAAGAAGGGAATTAGATACAATCCAGCCTGGAAGAGTAGACAGGATATACTTAGTAATGTCAAACCAGTTGAGTGCTTTCTGTGGCTGTATTTCAGGATTTGGGGATTTATGTCCATGGCAGCAAACTGCTGGGAAGGCAGAGAAAATGAATATCACCTGCATTCTACAGCAAGTACATTTTGTGGGGGAGATGACGATGAAGGACTCATTCCAGTGTCTGACGATGCAGATGACATGGAGGCTCCTGCGTGAGACACTGTGGAATCAAAATAATTGTATCAGACTCAAAAATTCTCATGCAAAGATACTCAGGTACTGGCAAGTTAGAGAATCTTAACATTATTCACTTCAGTTATCATCTTCTTAAATGCCGCATGAAGGAATAACAAACTGTCACCAAAAATTTTGTTTGGCTCAAGTGAGTGGAATTAGCCCCTGGTCAGTAAAGTCACTCAGTTCAAAAAAACATGCCATAAAATTTAAAGACTAAAGAGATAAATTCTTAAAACTTCTTAACAGATCCCTGGAAGGAATTCACCTTGCCGCAAACCAGAGACAAGATCAACCAGAGAATGTCCCACAAACAGCTAATCACTGGTCTCCTAGCTTTGTCGTGTCCCAGCACACCTGATGGACACGTTTCTGTGTAGGTAACAGAAGTTTTCTAGGTCAGGTATCAAATCCTATGATTTAGGAATTGAATTTCCTGACCAGATCCAATACTTCTTGTTCTTCTCGCCTAATCCTCTTTTTGATCTTCTACTGGGATTCTTTAGCTTTGCTATAACTTCTACATCACTTGTAAAAATTCCTACTATCATATACATCCCATAATATATATATCATGTAGGATATATATGTGATATATACACATACATGTATAGCATATGTATTTTTTAAATCCTCACCCAAGGGTATGTTTATTGATTTTTAGAGAGAGAGAACAGGGGAAGAGAGGAGAGGAAAGGAAAAGAAAATGTTGATATGACAGAGAAACACTGACTGGTTGTCTCCTATAGGTACCCCAAAGAGGGACTGAACCCGCAACCTAAGTATGTGCCCTGACCGGGAACTGAACCGATATCTTTTGGTATATGGGATGATGCCCCAACCAACTGAACCACCCAGCCAGTGCAATTGTATTTTTTTTAATTTGAATAGATCTGTGTTATTCTCTGAATTTTATTAATGCCATATTCTTGTTTCAAGATTAGATTATCTTCCCTGCATCTCTGGATATTAATTATAGTTTGGTATTTTTATATGGTACATCATCTGTTTTATTCCACAAATTCCTTTTTATTCTCATTTTATACTTTGGTTTCTGTCTTTATGTATGTAGAAGCCTTCCTATCTAGTACTGTGGTTTCAGTATTCCCTTATCTACCATGACAATTACAGTAGTTATCTGCTCCTCACAAAAGATAGGCTGTTGACAATTCTTATCTGTCAGTCTGCTGTCCCTTTTTCCTGTCTGTAGGTATGGGGCTTTTGATTTTCTTTACTGTCATTTTATTGGGGATTAGAGATAGAATAGATATGACTATGTCGATATTTAACTAGAAGTTAATCCTACACAATTTTCAGGTCTAGGTCAGACACTACTCTCTCCATGATTACTCCAGAGTAATCTATCCTTCTACCAATTCCTAAACTTGTTAATATCACTCTTGAGACCCTCATCACACAATGTCCTACTAAACTTCAATATCTTTTGAGATCAGAGTCTGGATCTCATTCACCTTCATACCTCCACCACCTAGAAGAGGGCCTAGCACATGGTATGTATGCATTAATACTGTTCATCTGAACTATCTTATACAGTAGTTGCTTAGGAAATGACTATCCCAAAAACAATCTCCTCAAGGATAAGCCATATGCCTAATCATTTTGATGAACCTCTTAATAGCAAATATAGTACCTAATAACAGGCAGCCAGTAAATATTGAGTGAAGAATGAATTCAGAGTGAATAAGCTGTTCTTGAGAACCCACCACATTTAGTAAAATCACACATTTTGTAAAACAGTTCATAGTCTCTTTCAGGAGTCTCACTCTGATTAATTCAGTTGTTGAATCACCTCAACAACAGCAACGAAGAAAATACTAGGAATCAAAAAACAATAAATGTATACTATATTCTAAGAGTGACAAACCTAAATCTTCTAAAATGATAGTACATTTGAAAATAGAGGAGAGGAAAATTATAATCAAATTACCTTCTCTGTCTTTCTTTTTTAATCTTTTTCTCCTCCTGTCAATAGTTGCAACTTCAGACTTCAAAGACATGTAATATTTTCTGATTTCCTGTAGTTTTTCTTGGAGAAAAGAAATTCTCTCTGTACTGTTCATATTATCTAGTTCATCTAAAAGGGAAAAAAATTAATTAGCATTTTTAAATAATTCAGAAAAATTATGGCGGTTTTATCAGAAATCCAACTCATAAATCATCAAAACCGTTGGTTTATTAAAACCAATCATATGAAGTTAATAAGTCTCTGTAACAAGGAAGACACTAATTAAATTCAAATAAGATTTCATTATATATCCCAATATTTCCATACTAAACGTTACTTGATTATTTATTTTTTACTAAACATTCTTGATTCTTTAAATGATCAGAAAAATGAAAGACATCAACACAGAGCAACTAGGATTTACAATTGTAGTTACTTATTGAAATTGTTTCTTCATATTGATGGTTTCCTCATTTGTTATTTCCAATTGTCAATGCTAGAAAGGATGTTCTAGTTTCATTGATTTATGTAAATCCTACATGTCTTATTTCATAATTGGAGGTAATCTTCCAGTGAATGTTTATCAAGTTAGTATTATGAAAAGATATGGATTTATATTTAAAGTAACAAGTGATGATTACTGGTAAGGCAATATTTGGAAACCTAAATAAATGAACTTGCTAATCATTATTCTTTTGGCATTTAAAAATATATATTTTTTTAGATTTTATTTACTCATTTACAGAGAGAACAGAAGGGAGGGAGAGAGGAAAAGAAACATCAATGTGTGAGAGAAATATCAATCAGGTGCCTCTCACACGCCCCCAACTGGGGACCTGGCCTGAAACCCAGGCATGTGCCCTAGATTAGGAGTTGAACTGATAACCTTTTGGTTTATGGGCCTGTGCTCAAGCCACTGAGCCACACCGGCCAGAGAATTCCTTTGACATTTTAAGGTATATATATATATATATATATATATATATATACAGTGCTTTACAATATACATTCAAGTTTTTTTAAAGTTTCTTACTGAGTTGAAAGCTCCACTTGTATGTCCTAGGGGATGAATTTGGATGTTTTTCTCTGTGTTTATCTTTTTCTCCATCTTTTATGTGAGGGGATATTCTTGCAGGAGATCGTGCAAGCTTCTGTGGCTTAGATACATTAAGATGTTTTACTGGGGTACATTTACTTGAATTGTCCAGGACAGGAAGATCTTCACTATCACTGCTTTGTCCTAGAATTAAAAAATGGACTCAGATTATAAATTATAAAAATCTCAAAATATCAATATGCAACAGACCCAGAAATCACACATTTTGGTATCCTACAGAAATGAGGGGAGGGGAGGGAAATAGAAAATTTAAGTGCTTATCAATGGTTAGAAATTTTATATTATTGAATACTTTGCTCAAGTGGTTAAAAAGAATGAGCAAGTTCATAAAAACAAAAATGACAAAATATCTTATATTCTTAAATGAAAAAGCAGTTATAAAACAATATACACAGTATTGCCCCATTTATGTTTATAACGAAACCTAACTACCCAAAAGAGCACCAATCCAAAAAAAAAAAAAAATATATATATATGCACAAAAAAGACCTATGTACACATAGCCTGTAACCCATAATGAAATGTGAGTAGATATTTGTTTGTAACTTTATGCCTCCTCACCAAATTTGTACTTAGAGATGCTTTTGGTTTTCACCTAATAACAAATAAGAATTCTCAATTTTATGTTTTTCAAACTATACTCTACTTTCACCCTACCCAATCTCAAAAGCAAATCTTGCTTTCTACTGAAAAGACAAAGTTAAGGGTTACACACTCAATTTTACAGCTCCTCCCCTACCTGTATCTGTCCTTACTGACCTTTTTTTGGCCTCAAAAAGAGTGTTTCTGGCCAAGATCATCTCTTCAGCTATTCTTAAAACCATCTACTTCTCTGAAATTCCTAATGTCAATTAACCAACCTCTTTTATCTTCAACTTCTTTTCTCAGAGTCTACAAAGTTGCTTAGATGTTTTCTACCCTTAGAAGAGGGAGGGAAGGAGAGGAAAACCTATCCCTTCAGCTGGCACCTCCTTCCTTCTCTTTAAGATCAAATTTCTTCAAAGACATTCTTTGTCTACAGATTTTCATACCTTCTGATCACATCACTGTGCTATTGTTAGGGTCCCAAACAATGAATACACAGAGCCTGGCAAAAATAATGCCCCTATATATCATAAAATCTTTTATCACAAAATCATCAGCATGTACGTAATTCTGTAACACAACAATATCACACTCAAGCACACCATATGATGTTTTAGATGAAATGTTCAAATTAAAACTATAAATTATTACCTGCATATCATTATCCTACCAACCACACTCGAACAGGTGTCATTTCTACCAGACCCTGTATTTTAATCCTATTGAATATTCTATAGCATTTGAAACTTTTTTCTTATTCAAATCCACTAATGTTTACTGATTTTTATTTATCTCCAATCAGTTTCTACTCTAGTCTTCCTGGCTATCCCACATAAAGGGACACTCTGCATAATTCTACTGGTCCTTTTTCTTTGTTTTTCAATTACAATTCACATTCAATATCATTTTGTATTAGTTTCAGGCATACAGCATAGTGGTTAGACAAGCATCTACTTTGCATAGTGTTTCCTTGATATTTCCAGTACCCACCTAGCACCATACAGTTATCACGACATCACTGACTGTATTTCCTATGTTGTACTTTACTTTTTCTTCTCATTTTACTGATAGCAATCTCATCTTGTAATACTTTGACAGCTATCTTCTAAAAATAGACTTTCTTCTAAGCTCTAGGCCCCACTTTTCCTAATACTGGGACCTCTAACACAACAATCCCTATGTTAGTCTCTCAACAACCCACTGGTATTCCTGTAGTCCATGTCAGTTAACCAATTCCTCCTAACTATTTATAATTGAGTCTTAGTGATTTTATATCCCAATTTTTTTTCAATTCATTCCTTCTTTCACTGTCTTAGTTAAGCCAAAGACTCTTTCCAAAAAGTAAAACTGATCTATTTCCTTTCTTTCTTCAGTCTTCAAACTTACAAAAAAGTTATGAGGACAACTAGCAAAATTTTTCTGACCCCTTGGAAGGTAAGTTGCCTCACCATACTTGAGTACTTTAGAGCTTTTTTTCTTAGAAACAAGAATATTCTTCTGTGTTAGTTATCTACAAGTTACCCCAAATCTTAGTTTAAAACTACAAATGTATAACTCACAATTTTTAAAAAATATATTTTATTAATTATACTATTAGAGTTGTCCCATTTTCCCTTTATTCGCCTCTGCCCTGCACCCCCCTCACACCAGCATCCCCCCCTTAGGTTCACGTCCATGGGCCATACATATAAGTTCTTAGGCTTCTCATTTTCCATACTATTTTTAACCTCCCTGTCGATTTTGTACCTACCATTTATGCTTATTCCCTATACCCTTCCCCCACTCTTCCTTTGCCCTACCCTGCCCCCACTGATAACCTTCCATGTAATCTCCATTTCTCTGATTCTGTTCTAGTTGTTTCCTTAGTTTGTTTTACTTTGTTTCTTTTTAGGTTCAGTTGTTGATAGTTTTGAGTTTGTTGTCATTTTAATGTAGTTTTGATCATCTTTTTCTTAAATATGCCCTTTTAACATTTCATATAGTAGGGGCTTGGTGATGATGAAGTCCTTTAACTAGACCTTATCTGGGAAGCATTTTATCTGCCCTTCCATTCTAAATGATAGCTTCGCTGGATAGAGTAATCTTGGGTATAGGTCCTTGCCTTCCATGACTTTGAATATTTCTTTCCAGCCCCTTCTTGCCTGTAAGGTCTCTCTTGAGAAATCTGGTGATAGTTTTATGGGAAGTCCTTTGTAGCTAACTGTCTCCTTTTCTTTTGCTCCTTTTAAGATTTTCTAATTTTTAACCTTGGGCAATGAAATTATGGTGTGCCTTGGTGCCTGTTTCCTTGGGTACTTCTTTGGTACTCCCTGAGTTTCTTGGAAGTCTATTTCCTTTGCCAGATTGGGGAAGTTCTCCTTCACTATGTTTTCAAGTAAGTTTTCAACTTCTTGCTGTTCCTCGTTTCCTTCTGGCATACCTATGATTTGCACTTTGGAACGTTTAAAGTTGTCCTGGAGGTTCCTAAGCCTCTCTTCATTTTTTTGAATTCTTGCTTCTTCATTCTGTTCTGGTTGAATGTTTATTTCTTCCTTCTAATCCAAATTGTTTGAGTCCCAGTTTCCTTCCCTTCACTATCGGTTCCCTGTATATTTTTCCTTATTTCACTTAGCAGAGCCTTCACTTTTTCCTTTATTTTGTGACCATGCTCAACCATTTCTCTGAGCATCCTGATTACCAGTGTTTTGACCTCTGGTTGGCTATCTCACCATTTAGTTCTATTTTTGGAGCTTTGATGTATTTTTTTATTTGGGCCATATATATATTTTTTGTCTCAGTTTGTCTGTTATATAGTGAGGGGCAGAGCCTTACGTATTTGCCAGGATGGGGCAACTCATGTTGCTGCACTGTAGCGCTGTATGTGGGGAAGGGGTCTGAGAGGGAACAATGCCATTTGCTCTGCTCTTTGCTGGGCTTCAGTCACTTCTCCTGCTACCCAGAAGCAAATCTGGGTCCTTCTGGTGCTGATTCCCGGAGGGGTGGGTTTGTGTATGTTCTAGGACCCTGTGGGTCGTTCCAACAAACTCTCCCTTGAGGCCAGGTGTTTCTCCCACCACCACAAACCCCACAGGTTTTCCAGTCAGAGGTTTTGAGGCTCTCTTGTCCCATGCTGGAACCCTGCGTTGTGTGGCTCTCTTGCTCCCCAATTATTCCTCCTGGTTTATCTACATGCAAATATGGGATTGCCGGTATGCCAGCCACTGCCTTGCCACATGTCCTCTCTGCCCCAGATGCCCATCTCTGCTCCTCCTATCAGTCTGAATGAATGTTTCTTTTTTAGCTCCTTGGTTGTCGGACTTCCATACAGCTTGATTTTCTGGTCATTCTGGTTATTTTTTGTTTTTAAATTTGTTGTTCTTTTGGTTGTGTGAGGAGGCAAAGTGTGTCTACCTACGCCTCCATCTTGGCCAGAATTCTTAATAGCTCACACAGTTTCTGAGGGTTGGAATCTGGGAGCAGCTTGTCTGTGTGGTCTGGCTTAGGATATCTTGTGAGACTGCAGCCAAGCTGTTAGTTGAGGCTGTGGTCTCTGAAGACTTGACTAGAGCTGGAGGACATGCTTCCAAGGTGACTTACTCATGTGTCTGTGGTCAGAAGGTCTCAGTTTCTTGCTCACTGTTGGTAGGATATGCTCAGTTCCTCACAACATGGGCCTCTTCGTAGCCTGATTGAGTGTTCTCACAACAGACAGCTAACTTCTCCCCGATGAAGTTCATCCAAGGATGAACATGCAGGAATCTGCAGTGCCTTTTATGACTTATTCTCTAAAATCATGTTCTATCACTTCCACTTTGTTAGAAGTAAGTTACTAAATTCAGCCCCCCACTAAAGGGAAGGGAATTAGGGTTTGTCTCTTCAAGGGAAGAATATCAACAAATTTGTGGATATCTGTTTGTAAAACCACTGTACTCCTACAGAACCATAATACAACCATCAAAACCAGGAAGTTAACACAAATATATTACCATCATCTAATCCTCAGATCCCATGCATGTTTCTCTATTTGACCTGATAATGTCCTTTTACAGCAATAGGATCCAGGTGAGAATCATATACTGCATTTAGGTGTCACATCTCTTAAGTCTCCTTCAATCTGGAACAGTTCTTCTTTCTTTGATTTTCATTACCTTGACAAATTTTTAAATTGCAGGCCAGTTATTTTATAGAATATTCTTCAGTTTGAATTTGTTAATGGTTTCTAATGATTATATTCAGGTTATGCATCTTTGTGAGGAAATCAGTGATGATGTACTACTATGTTTATATTGCATCCTGTCAGGTGTTACATGATTTCAATTTGTCCCATTATTAGTGGTGGTCACTTTGGTCATCTAAGGTGGTGCCCACCAGTCTTATCCACTGTAAGGTTATTCATTTTCCCTTTGTACTTCCTGCTACTTTTCTAGTCTCATCTCCCATTACTTTTTCTCAGTATCTAGTCCTGTACTGTTCAGCCATATAATGGCTACTGAAAACCTGAAATGCCTTTTATCTTATATAAATTATATGCTCCCTCTTTGGTACTTCATCTACACTATAACCTAGAATTTCACTTTCAGACTTGTATAAAGGCAGGTTTTGAAGGTAAAAGTTTAATTTGTCAAAATCAACCATGTTTATTTCTACTATATTCTATGACTTAATTTTATTCCTTATTGTACAGAAGTCTGTTTTTTATGTAATCTATTCATATCAGTTTACTTTTTAAAATAAAAATTTTACTTCTCCATGTTTTAAAATTACCATATCACTTAGGAGTCAGCTTTTCTAGATTAAAGAAAAACATTCCATTCAGAAATGTAAACTTAATCTGCTTGCACCATTACAACAAATGTTGTTTTTCTTTCATTCAAGTTTCCCACATATGTTCCTATAATATTAAACTACTTTACATAAAAAATACGCATAAAAATAATCACAGCTATTCCAACTCTAAATAAAACTGACAAGAACTTCAGATTAAAAATTAATGGAAAAACTGCTATTTCAGAACACAATAAACCAAGTTTATTTTTAAACTGACCCAAATGATCAAGTCAACAAACTGCTGAAAATATTAACAGTGTACTAAAACCAGCATTGAAAAGCACCAACCTGTTCCATTTTTTTCATTTTTGGCTACAGCACTTGTTCGCTTTGGGATACGCTTTTGCTTTTTTGCCAATAATCCACCATTTCCATCACTTGGTCTTTTCTGACCTGAAGGGGGAAGAGAGAGATCTTGAAAAGTCAATAGCAAGTATATTTATTCACCTGTCTACATAAATTTCTATATATACATTTTTAAACAGGTGGGGGAAGAGGGAATAGAGAGAGGAAGGAAAGGTAGAAAAAAGGAAAGGAAGGAAAGGAGGAGGAAAAAGTACAGATCAAAAGTTCATTTACTAATTTTTGGTTTTAATATAAAGTCTAATTTTCTCCCTATAAAGTCCTTACCCTTCTCTCTGATCTCTCTTTCTTGAACAATTATACTACAGGTACCAGAGGCAACGCTGGCTTCAAATCCATTTGCTGATTCCCTCTCACAGAGGCCTTCTTGAGATTCTTCAGCAATACTATCAACTTCAATGGTTATGTCACTCTCACTTTTTATACTTCGAGACTCATCTTGACTGAGAGTAAGTGGTGAAGCTACTGAAAAGTTATGCTGTACTACAGGAGGTAGGGCAGGTGGAATAGAAACAAGAGAGTTAGATTCAGAGCTTTCCACTACTGCATCCTCAATACTGGTCTTGTCCTTTTCATCCAAATCATCCAAATCTACTTCATGGCAAACCAAGGTTTCAGGCCCAATCAGAGGCATTGCATCTTCTTCTTCTTTCAGTGGAGTATTTACAGTTTCTTCAGCTGGACTATCAGACTTCTCACTAGTCAGTTCTTGAATGCACTGGTTTGACTCTGCTATTAATGATGGCATTCCTTCATTTTCTGTTTCAAAATGTTGTTCAAAATTTAAGTTTTTCACTCCCTCAGATACAATACAATCACTGGTCCTTTCTTGAGATATGCTATTTGTCATTTCCACTCCATTCTCAATTCTCATTTTTTTCTCTGGTGATGATTGTCCCAGTATTTTCCGTTTCAACTTTTTTTCTTTTCCACATTGGTCGATTTCATTTTCAGTAGCAGAAGAAAAGTTTTTATTGTCTAATGAAGGAAATTCTAGACTGTGAGTTTCTATACGAGGTTCACTTCCTGCTTCATCTTGGCTAAATGAAGAAATCTTTATAATTTCTAAAGAAAGATCTTTTGTCTTGCTTCGTCTTCCCTTTCCTTTAGGGGATTTTTCTGCCTCTTTCTTAATGTCTTCTACTTGTTCTACTTTATTTCCAAAAATCTGTACTATTTGTTCATTCTCTCCAACATCTAACTTCAAGGTCTCTAGAGGCTGCATTTGAGTCCTTTCATTTTCTTTTAATATATGTGCAGCAATCTTTGGATTTTCTTCATCTAGTTTATCATTTAAATTTTTGTTTTTTTCTAGTTCTTCTTTAATATCAGGAGAAAGTTCTTCATTCATCAAATTCTTTTCTAAAAGGTCTTCTGTATCACTATCAGATGAACAAGAGTCTGCAAGAGGAAATGTTACACAGGTTTCTATCTTAATTACCAATGTAATTTTACAATAAAAATTCTGCCAAACACAAAACTCTTAATTGTGAACCTTGAATACCTCTCTATAGAAGTTTTTGATATAAAATAAATCATACCCTTGAGCCAAAAATGTGTGGGGAAGAAGATTTCAAATTAAACTCCATGTAAGAATACATTACATAGGAAGTATTACTATCAAAATTCTGTAAAAGAGTTATTTTGCAATTTTCACTAGTATCATATTTAGGCTATGATACTTCTTAGAAAAGCAAAGGACTAGTACTGAGATATGACATTGTAAAGTGGTTTGATCTGAGATCTAGTAGGTAGTGATTAATACATGTGATGGCCCTTTTGTGTCCTTAGAAAGGAATCTGACATTCTACTTAAAATAATTCTGGAAAGGATATACAAAAGGAGCAATTTGAATTCTCAAAACTTTAAATACTCTTCTGATTAAGAGACATGAAAGTATAGGCTATCTACCATTTTGCAAAATAAATCTTTCACTTTAGTCAGATAATTTTTAAATTAAAATCAAGTAGAGTTTTAAAACTGTATAGGAGCTATAAAATATAAAAATTTGGCTCACATGCTGCTTACATTTTAAGTAAGTTCAAAAGAGCAAACTTACTTAAAGGTATTTTGTAAATGAAAAGGTACATAGTTTTTGTGATTTTAACACATACAGAATTTAGAATTCATTTGTTCTTGGGTTAAAAAAAGAACTCCTTTAGTTTAGCAAGACTAAATATATATAGTTTTGTAGGTGGTACACTGCACAAGGGTATAGCGTGCAAGAGAGCATCTTTCACTTTGTGGGTATCTTGCAATTATGTAATATGGCAACCTTCCAGCAGATGGCAGTAAAGAGGAAGAAGAATGCCCTTTTGTAATTTGCATACAAGCAAACATCCTATGGACGAATAGCAATCCTGTACATTCAAAATAACTTTTTTCCTAGAAGGAAGGAAAATTTTTATAAGGCTAAGGCAACTATTTAACGTTTCTTAAATTACATGGAAAAAATACAAAGATAGAAAAGTGGCAAAAAGTGAGTAAAAGCAGAATAAAATATGTTCACCTGTACTCATCATGAAACATTTCCATACCACATTAGTTTTTGCTCTCTCTGAGAAACACAGTCTCAGCTTTGCTGAAATATCCTACGGGACAGCACTGAATTACAGGAGACACTGGTGCATGCTTTGAAGGACAGTGCAGCACACAGTTAGATGCACGGCCTGTCAACCCATCCTCTACTTAAAATAGAGTATTTCTATGATATTGACCAAAAAAGGTATTCTAAATTAAAGTAAAACATCACTAAGTTTTAAGATAACTTTCTACAAGTCTCACACAACTGATGTTTTATTATTTATGTTGTTTTTTAAAAAATCAGTGATCCTCAAAATTGTGCACCTTCCATTCTATTTGACAATGGTGAGCTGTCTGCCATACTGCTGTGAGCACTTCTGGTACCTGATTTTCCTTCACTGTTTGGAGTCTTAGACAAACCATATGGCATGTTTGATGAAAGGGTAGATCTTAAAGGAGGTCGTCCCCGTTTTGACTTCTGCCTCTCTTCATCCCTCTTTTCATCTTTTTCACTGTCTTCTTTATTCTAGATAACAACAAAATATATATATGAGAGAAGCGCATTCCTTAAAAGAAAAATCGACATTCTACTTCTCCAAGGAAAACTAGAAGTCAAAAAATGTATTTTATATATCAATTGCTAATCTGTGCTTACAGAAAAATTATAAACAAATAGTTTGTTGACATTTTTTACTTATATCAATCAATATGATGGTCTACACTATGCAATACTGCGATCGTAATTGTGAAGGTCAGAGTCAGGGCATTATAAAGCTATGCAACTACTTAGCACTGCCTCCCCTTACTATTCCCTGAAGAAAAGAAAGATATCTACCATAAATAGACAAAACATTAAGCGACTCTCTACAGCAAAGGCTGAAAACCGAGGGTGAGGATGAGGATAAAGAGGGCCAGCAGGTATGTGTTTTAAAATTTAGTATTAGATTCCAACACATAAAAATCAGATTTCACATTAAAAAAAAAAATGCCGTGTTGAAAAATCCTAAAATCTGGCAGCCCTGATTGCACCCCACAACAGTGTTTAGTCCCATCCTCCCTAGATGAGAACATGTCCTCGTGTTGGTCCCGATCAGTCCTACTTCCCCTTTGTCTACACTACAGCCGCTATAGGCATATCGGTTTAAAGCCTATGTCCCAGGAATCACTGGTTTTTATCTTTCTTGAAACAATGAGTTAATGTGTTTACATTTTTTCACTTTTTTTAAGCTTCTGGTTTATAAGAGAGAAAACCACAATTACCTTAAAAGAATCAATATGATTATCATAGTGAAACAAGATTTAGAAAACATACAATATGAATAATTCCTGGATCTATCATAAACGATATAAATCTGTGAACATACTTTAGCTTTTTTCTTCTGTTTTTTCTTTGGTCCACCTTTGTCCAAAGGCCAGATTATCCTGTCAGCCTTCACCCATTCATCATACCTTAAAATAAAAAATATATTTAAATATTCACAATAATACCTTATTTGAAATGTATTCATCAAATAAAAACAAGAGTGGCATAAACTAAAGAGCTTGTTTCTAGTATTGGCAGAAATGTGAAGGGCACAGGGGCTGATTTGTTGGTAACAAGTGCCAGCCACTGTACTAATGAGGAGCTTTGTATACCTGCCACCGATAAAGCAAAACAAGACAATTTCTTAGGGCAAACAGGCTTAAAGGGAGAGCTAGGTAAGCAAATTCTAAACAGATTCAAGACCATTTGAACTGCTTTGTTTTCTACAACTCTCACAGATTTGAACATAATGAAGTAAAATGATTCTGCGCTGGCAATCATTTCATTTACCAAATAATCTAAAGAGAAGTCAGGTAAATTCAAACTTGTAATATGATCAGTTCCCAATGTATTTTATGAAGTCCTTTTCAACTCTCTTCCTCACAGAATTCTCTAACCTCTAGTACTTCTAGTAATATTTTATTCTGAACTATATCACCAACAAGACTCTGACATTTTTAGAGACATTTCATTTTCTTTATCTAAGTTTATTCTGTTTAGATCAAGTTGAAAACTCCTCATATCCCCTATACCTTTTTCCAAAACATTGACATCACTTTTCTTTTTTAAAAAAAATCTGCACCTGAGGATATGTTTATTGATTTTACAGAGAGGGGAAGGTAGGTAGAGAGAAAAAAAGTGAGAGAAACATCAATTAAGAGAGAAACATTGCCTGAGGATACATTTACTGATTTTTTTTTTTTTTTTGAGAGAGATGTATGATGTTAGAAACATCAACTGGTTGTTTCCCATACATGCCCCAACCGGGGGTCAAACCCACAACCTAGGTATGTGCCTTAACTGAGGATAGAACCTGCAACCTTCTGGTGCATGTGAGGATGCGCCAAACAACTGAACCACCCTGCCAGGGCTATTGACATCACTTTTCAATTTCAATATATTCAGCCCAAGTTACTAATCAGGGGCAAATAAGAAATTAAACTTTTAGAACTAAATAAAACAGTTCTTCATTATGTAAATATCCAAGTATTTGGAGAGCTCTATCAGAATCTAAAATCTGAACATTTAAGCAAAAGACTATAGGCAGTCCTTGCTTTGAACTTGCTTTGCATCATGTGAGTGGAAACCATACCCTTATTTTGTAACCTAGTTACCACGAAAATATGCAAAGCAAGGACATGGTTCCAATACCCACAAGTTTTATTTGACATGGTACCATGATTACTTATACTATGGTTTGAAAATCTCAAAAGTATCTCCTCCCGAATCAATCCAATATCTTTGTTTTACCAGGCTAAGTATCTGGACATTCTGAATATATTTAGAAGTATTCATTCATTTGGACATTTACTGAGGGCCTATCTAGGATGCAGAAGTATAGACAGAATAACAGAGAAGACAAGGCAGGCCCTTGCTCTCATGCAACTTGCAGTCTGGTGTGACAGACAGACATACGGTAAAACCAAGTTAGTCTGGTAAATGCAATAACAGGGTTATTATATATTCACCCCAGGGCTAACAAAGGAACTCTGTTACTAGGAGAGTAACCCCCGCCCAATTCCAAAATTCCATAAGACATATCAGACAACCAAGAAGCACAAGCCCAGAAACAAACAAACAAACAAACAAACAAACAAACAAACAAACAAACAAACATAAATGGTGAGGAAGGAAGCAGCACAAGTTTGATCTGGACTATACTAGTCCTGGTCACCATGGTATGTCACCTAGGCACTCCCAGCATTAATACTGCCAACCAAGGGTGGTCCGAAGATTTCTCAACTGAAGAGCAGGACTTCCCTCACAGTTTTACATGCAACCCTGAGTTAGATATTCAACTAGATTCTCTATGAACTACAGTGGCTCAATGTCAATGAGCAGGTAAGAATTATACCAGCCTTTAGGAGTATGGAGATACAACAAAATACCATGAACCATGTGAGTAACCAGTTAAATAAATGTTTAGGAGCTTAGCTAGTTAGGAAAAATGTGAGCGTATGATAAAATGACTACTGAGAAGAGTCATAGAGTAAAACATTAAACAGATGAGAAAGAGGGATGACAGCAAGAGAGAAGTCTAGAAAGCAGAACAGAGGAACAGACGCACACTAACAAGTGAGAATGGATGACTGTGAATGGAACAGAACCTAAAGAAAAAAGAAGATTCTAATATACCGTAGCTGTGAAGATAGTTACTCAAAGTTGGTAAAAGTAGTCCTTCCCCCTTGAACTCAACAACATGTGTATATATATAAAAAAACAGCGAGACAGATTAAGTTTGTTTCTAATGTTGGCAGAAATGTGAAATATGAAGGGCATGGACTGGTTTGAGAAAAAAAAAAGTTAAAGGTTTATATGCAAAACCCCCATACTTCTAAAATCTTTTATATGTGATAAAGTCAAACTCTTTTAAAATGATGTGAGATGAAAGACACCTAACTGTCCCTCACTTAAACAAACAAACAAGCACAGCCCTGCAAACCAAATGGTTGCCAGTACAATTGCCCATCAGGGCATGTGCCTGGGTTACGGGCCAGGTCCCCAGTTGGGGACGTGTGAGAGGCAAGCACACATTGATATTTCTCTCCCTTTCTTCCTCCATTTCCCTCTAAAAATAAATAAAATCTTTAAAAAACAAAACAAAAAACAGTTAACATTTACCTGAGCACTTACTAAGTGCCAGGCATTGTTCTAAGCACTTTGCATGTTAATGTAGGTATTACTACTATTTCTCAAAACAGCTCTACAAAATAGGTACTTTTTCTTCCCCAATTTAGAGACGAAGGAATCCAGGTATAACAGACTACACTTAAGTATGCAGGGAAACCTTGGAGGACTCTGGCTCCAAACACAGGGCAAGCAGAGGCATTACACACACAAGACTTTCTAAAAAAAGAGAAAAATAGTCCCTGACATTCAGTAACTAGCCTAGTTATGTTGGGAGGGACCTAGTTTTGCTAAAGAGGTGACGTGACGTCACATCTAGGTTGTTGTCTTCTTTTGAACATGAACCATTTCACAGAGCATCAGACAATTCTTGCAATGTGACCAAGATGTACCAAGACAACAAAACCACTCCCTAATCAAGTATAAACAAACAAAAAACAGGAACCTGGTCCAAATCACAAGTATGACCAAACATCTTTCTTTCCTGACTGCAGCTTCTTTACCAATTTACAGCATTAACACTGGTCTAGTATTCTTTCCTTGTAGATAACTTTTATTAAGATAACCAATCATTGAATTAACCCTACATCTTGACAGCATTCAATCTACAGCAAAGCCCTTAAACCCTCCCCCGAATCACCTAACAGATGCTCACATCTAAGTCCTTTCTAACATTCTTTTTTATTAATAAATTTAGAGTTATTACAATGCTTAACATAGTTTTGATTTCTAATAAAAGTAACAGACAAAAAAAAACCAACAAAAAAACAAAACAAAAAACAAACAAACAAAAAAACACTTGCACTGTTGGTAGCTATGGTCCTGGCTCTTTGTCCATGTCCTGTAGGATATTCTCACAGAATCCTGGGCTATGACTGTTCCCAAAGCTGGTGCCTGGGCTTTAACCGATTGTTTAACACTCTCTTACTGAATCACCCTACAGTCTTCCACGCTGTACACTCTCCCTCACTGCAAATGAGTAATAAATCCAACTTGTTAAACTAGTTAAACTACAGGCATGATCCAGGTGACTTTTGGCTGTAAGTATTGACACAACTAGTATAACTGGGAACATTGGAAGTCTTAGAAAATTAGGATACAAGGTGTGCTTTGTAAATACACATATACCATTTGCTTTAGTTCTTCACAACATTAATTGTATCTTTTTGAACCACTGAGAGAAATTTCAATGGAAAGAAAACACATTTCTTGCTTACCTGACATTCCATCCATAGTAATGTACCAAATATAAAACTTCTCCATCATCAATTTCAGTGCTTTTAATACTGGCTTCATAGATTTTCTGTGTCTTCCCTCGTCCATATTTCACTTTCACTTTGGTTCCTGTTAGGCAGGGTTCCATGTCTTCCTCATCTTCCTCCCCTTCGGAGTCACATTTGGTTTCAGTTTCTTCCCTGCAGTAAGTTATAACATTGATAATGCTACTAATAACTTAATGGAGAATAAACTAATATATGCAAAAAGAATCCAACATGTAGAATAGTCACAACCTAAGGATTACCTTAATAGCATGTCAGTGGAGGAGGAGAAGAAGGAGGAGAAGGAGAAGATTTTTATGGACTACTTACTACAGAATATATTTATTATATAAAGGTACACTTTACCAGAAGTACATCCAGACTTCTTAAAGGCCAGTCAAAAATCAGTTAATGATGATGTGGAGTCAAATAAATCACTTTTGTTAAAACAAAATGAGAACCATATGCTATGAAAAAGTCTTTAGAATTCTTACTCAAGTGTCACCTTACATGCAAAAATTATCTCAAGAGTTTGTAACCTGCAACTAAATAGTCTTACATCTACATTATTACTACTTTCTACTCGATTTAGAATGGTTCTTAGAAAACTACTTTTTGATGGATAAAATAATGAACAAGAGCTATCTACCTGTGTAATCATATCTTTTAAACTAGTTTATATTTTAAAGGTTTCCCCATCCTAACAAAGAAACAATATTTCAGTATCAGGTCACTTGTTAAACTGTGGGAGAGCACCAAGAGAAAAGCTTTGTGTATCTTATATTGATTTGTTTTTACTCATCTCCCATTAGTTTTCTTTGTTCTGATAATCAGTTATAAGGAAATTCACATTGGGTGGTCCAATTGTATTTTTAATATTTTTACAAATGAACATACTGTGTTAACCCTGCATGGATTCAGGAGAGATTTGCATCAAAGGCCATTCTACTGTTACAAGAGTACTGAACACTTAAAGGGCCCTGGGCAGTGAGGCTCACTTGGTTGGAGCATCATGCCATAAATTGAAAGGTTGAGGGTTTGATTCCCAGTCAGGGCACATGCTTAGGTTGAGAGTCTGGTCTGGGGGCAACGAGAGGCAACCCACTGATGTTTCTGTCACATCACTGTTTCTCTCCATCTCTCCCTCCCTCCCTCCCTTCTCGTCTCTCTACAATCAATAAGCAAGTTATCAGGTGAGGACTAAAAAATTGCTTCAGAGGAAGCATTGTGATCTATAATAAACATAGGACATTATTCTGGGAACCACTAGGGGACCAGACATGAAAAGCTTTGACAACCCATTTGCCTTGGGAATGTTTTTTTCTCCAAGGTGGGTACCTTCCAATTATATGCTGATAGAGTAATTTCAAAACACTAAGAAACTACTTAAAAGAAATTTCTATAGATAGAAATATCTCCCATTTCCATTTCTGCTATAGAATGAGAATACAGACTATATTTGTCTACATATCCAATTTTTATTTAATAAAAAGGGACTACTGTTCTTCACATGTCTCTTTTTCTCTAAAATATTTGCTCCATTTATACATCAATTATAAAGGTTTTAAAAAACACATATTTGCCCTGACTAGTGTGGCTCAGTGGGTGGTTGTCATTCCACAAACTGAAAGGTCACTGGTTTGATTCTTGGTTACGGCACATGCCTGGGCTGCAGACTAGGTCCCCAGTTGGGGGTGTGAGGGAGGCAACCAATCTCTCACACATCAGTGTTTCTCTCCCTTCCCCACTCTCTCAAAAATACAGAAATAAAATCTTTTCTAAAAACCCCACATATTCTATATTGTAACTTTTAGATATTACATATTATATATTTTGATGTTTATTATTAACAAAACTTCAAACTATAATTAAGCCCTACTTTTAAAGTGGTTCATCTTTGATTAGATTTATTGTTCAAGTATTTGAAATATCATTATACTTAACTCCAATTATTTTCTCCCACTTTTCCTATCTTAATTATATTTTACTACAGAACTTTCTTTGTTCAACTAATCTAATTCACATATAATTGTGATAGCTCCCATACTTACTTTTATTGAACCATAAAATTTACCTCTCCCACTCACCAATCATTCTTATTTTTCTAAATATTCTGTCAATAGTTAACTTTCAGATGGATGTAAGCTGCTAGTTGAATGCAGGCCACTTTTCCCAAACTTTGCTCAACAACTCAAATTTCTAGAAAACTTAGCATTATATAACATAACTGAAAAAATAACTATGGAGGTGAGCTTACATTACAAGTGTGTTATGCTCTTATTGCTGAATTAAAATTCATTTCTTAGTAGTATGTAAAAATTAGTAAATCTATTTGACAACACAGAAATGGCCAACTAAACACTGTTGGATATTACTTTGATCTAGCTGGACTGCCTAATTGGTTATTTTTAAGTCAATTCAGTCCAAACATGTATATAATACACGGAAAAAAAAATACAGTTTTCACTAAACAGCAAACAGGATGGACATTAAAAAGCTGAAATTTCTTGGTGTGATGTGGGGCAAGAACGTATTTTCCAAACAAGAATCAGGGGTGCATGCCACTTAATCTAATACAGTAACTTGAAAAAGAAAAATGTCTTAGATAAAGCTAACACACAGAAACATCTGCTAGTACTGTGCACCCATGTGTTTGTTAGCTTTCCCACATTGTACCTTTTTTAAAATGGAATTTTTGCTGTCGCTGTTTCCTCTTGTCCACTTCCTCCATTTTTCTCCAGCTCCCTTCCCTGCTGTCAACTGCAGGACCTTTCTTTTGACTGGGTGACGCAGCCTTCTTTGAGGCCACTGTTTAGGGCACAAGTGCTATTAAAATGGTGCGACCAGTATATTCTCCAATTCCGAAAGGCGATACACATCATCTTCACAATGTGTTTCACCTTCATTAGACAAGAGGAATGGAAGTCCCAATAAGAAAACATTCCCTCAAACCTGAATATCTAAGCAGGAACAGAGTGCTGCTGTGCCCCAGACAGGTGCTTCTGGAAACAAATATAAGATAAAGTACCTCTCGTGGCTTTTCTCTTCCTCTTCATCTGAGTCTTTGTCAGAATCCTCCTGCTTTTTAATTTTCTTCTCCTTTTGCTTTGGTGTATTTTTTCTCCCCAGTAGGAGCTCATTTTCTTTTTTCTCTGCACTTTCATAGTCATCATCTACATCCTTATTTTCTGTATCATTATCTTTTAATTTGTCTTCTATTTTCTCTTCTTCAATTTCCTTTTTAATAGAATTTGCATCTCGAGCAATTCTCCTTCGTCCCTAGTAGAGGGGACAGAAGCTTTAAAAAAGCTATCAGTATAAGCGGGGGCAGGGTGGGGGGGGGGATGAGGACAGCGACAGAAAAATGTATCTTTTTCTTAAACCGTCATAGCAATGACCAGTCTCTATGGCTTGAGACATGACAGTGACAACTCTTGTGTACTTTTTTCTCTTCCTCTTCAAAGTAAAATACTACCTCATGTAAATTAGTTAATTAAGTCCAGATCTACTATGACCCTTGGCTACAGACTACTTACAAAAGAAAAATGTTTGGCCTTGGCTTGGTAGTTAAAGCATTGCCCCACTACACGAAGGCTGTGGGTTTGAGCCCCAGGCAGAGAGCACACAAAAAGTAACCAATGCGGGCGTAAATAACTGGAACAATAAATCCGTGTTTCTCTTTCTCTCTCCCTTCCTCTCTTTCTCTCTGAGATCAGTAAATTTAAAAAAATCTTAAAAAAATAATAAAAATATTCTTTGTTCATTACATTATTTATCTCACTTTTAGTATCTCTTGACTACAAGTTTTAAAAGCAGTATTTAAATGTCAATGATACAAGTTGTTAATAATAATAGTAATAAATCAACCCCCTAAAATTATGGACTTTAAAAAAGTTCTGTGGCCCCGGCTGGCGTAGCTCAGTGGATTGAGCGCGGACTGCGAACCAAGTGTCGCAGGTTCGATTCCCAGTCAGGGCACATGCCTGGGTTGCAAGCTATGACCCTCAGCAACCGCACATTGATGTTTCTCTCTCTCTCCCTCTCTCCCTCCCTTCCCTCTCTAAAAAATAAATAAAATCTTAAAAAAAAAAAAAGCTTTGTGACCTCTAATTGTTTTTCTAAGGTAAAATTTATTTTATCATTATATTTCTGTGTGACTACATTTTAAAAGTACTGAATTATATCAATGGCCAAAAAGTGAACTGATTTCTTGAACTGAGTACCTGGAGAGCTCACTGAGCCTACCTACAGTGTACTGTTCTGCCCCCTATAGCTTTACCCAGCCTCTTGCTGCATGCTCAACTGTGTGGAAAACTGGTGAGCCATTTAATTATTCCTTAAATTCTCCTTCAAGTCAACCTCCACACACTGGCAGGATTTTGGCCTACTTGAAGTAAAGTGAGCACAAAAACCCAACAAGTTAGGGAGCACTAAAACACAATTAGTACTTCCGTATAACAAATGTTTCTGTAACTACGTATTAGTTTAACTTCAGAAGTAAAAAGAAGAAATTTATTTTTCTTATCACAAAGTACTAAACTGTAAGTTCCATGGGGGCAGGGACTTTTGTCTCATGCTTACTTTTGTGTCCTCAGATCTAGACAGTGCCTGGTACATAGCAGGCGCTCTTTAAATATTTGTGTGGTATAAATAACAGGTGTCATCTATTAAAATTTAGTTCTGTATATCTTTGTTCCAGAAATCCCATTTTTAGAAATCTGCTCTCTATATTCAGCTACATTAGCAGGACATTTTTACAAGACCATTTATTGCAGCACTTCTTATAACTGTAAAAAATTGGAGAAAATCTTGAGAAAAGTAAATTTATGGTACTTGGGACTCAGACAACACAATGCAGATGTTTTACTAAGATGAGGAAAGTCTTTATGTAATCACAAGGATATCTACACACATACAATGGGGATATTATTCTGTCTGAAAAAGGAGAGACATTCTGACACAGATGTGGATGAAATTTGAAGACATTATGCTAAGTGAAATAAGCCAGCCACAAAAGGACAAACACTGTATAATTCTACTTATATAAGAAATCTAGAGCAGTCATTGTCATAACGACATAAAGTTGAATGGTAGTTGCCAGAAGGTAAGGGAGACAGGGATGGAAAGTTATTTTTTAATGGGTACAGTTTCAGTTTTGCGATGTGAAAAAGGTTCTGGAAATGTGTGGTAGTGGTGGTTGCACAGCAATGTCAATGTACTGAATGCCACTGAACTGTGCATTTAATATTGGTTATGATCGATTTTGTTATGTGTATTTACCACAATTTTTAAAAGTTAAAAAAAGAAAAGAGACAAACCAATTTGAATGTTTCACAAAATTCACTAGAAGATGCCATTTATCATTTATTAGATGACAGAAGGGACAGTTCAAAAAGTGTTTAAGGTGACTTCAAACACCTCTTTCATTGAATATGATTTCACTGAAAAATAAGGTGTGTGGTAGTAACTGAACTTCTTCGAAGATAGTGTGATAAATTGTCTTTCTCCTAAAATTTGGTAAGTTCTATTATGTAGACATCATTCCACAATGATCAAAATAGCGGATGACAATTCTTACATAACACTTATATAGTAATGGAGAGAGAGCAGAGTTAAAAGATAAAACCAGTGTGTACATCATTATAAAACAAGTGAGAACATGAAAAAACTGTCATAAGAGCTATGCAGGGTGTTATGGGATAACAGAGAAAGAAAAGATCCCAGCTGGTTGGGAGCATGGGTATCATTAATAAAGAGGAGGTTCATTCACACAACTACTATTTAAGAAGTGCTTACTAATAGTGTCAGTCACTATTCTAGATGTCTGGGAACAGTCAATGAACAGAATAGGCATTAATCCCTGCCCTTGTGAGGTGTGATTCTAGTGCAGGCTAGGGTAAAAGAAATAAGATATTGTATAGTAAACAGAATAAATAAGTAAATTATTATAGGAAGAGTGACATTAGAGGGACTATGCAATGAATATTTGAGACTGATCACAGAAGAGAATGATTTGAACAAACATAAACAGGAGGAATGATTTTTCAGGTAGAGGAAATAATATGTGATGCATTTAAAGAAAGGTAGGTAGCATAGCCTGGTTAAAACATAACTAAATACTAGGAAATAGACTAGGTTCATCAGAGTATTTTTGTATATATATATCTGAAAATGTCATAATAAAAAATGTTAAGTAATGCTTAAGATAAACCAGATAAAACCAGTTCAGTTACTTACCCTTGGAGACTTTAATTCTATTTCTTCTCTTTCACTTTCACTGTTTGAATCAATATTTTCCTCAGGTTCACTCTTTACTTCTACTAAAGGCATTTCTTGGTCTAGTTTTAGAGTTTCTTCCATTGATTCTTCCAAGTCTTTTTTCTCCTCTTTTACTTTTGGTTCATGGTGGTGAATAGTTCTGAACTGAATATTTGCAGAACGGCAGTACTCCTCAAAACCATAGAGATATCTAAACAAATAATATTTCTATTTAATAAGTATCCATCTTTACACTTAAATACTCTATTATTAAACACATACATTTCAAAAAAGTAAAACTTAATCCTTTCTTTTTTAAACTACCTTTTCTATGTTACTAATTTCTTGGTGTTTTATATAGAATTATAAACAGAAATTTTGACTTTTGGCCAAGATGGAGGCATAGATAGAAATGCTGTGCCTCCTCGCACAACCAAAATAAGGACAACAAAAATCTAGAAACAAAATAACAACCAGTACTGACAGAAAGTTGAACTGTGTGGAAGTCCAACAACCACAAGGAGTTAAAGTAGACACATTCAACCAGATCTGTAGGAGGGGCGGAGTTGGGTCATGGCAAAAAAAAACGCGGTGGCTGGTGGACCTGGGCACGCAAGGCAGCAGCAGGCGGACCCAACAAGGCATAGGATTGTGGAGGGGCTTGGTGTGCACGGTGGCTTTCAGACCTGGGCAATCCCACATTCATGCGCACATAAACCAGGTGAAACTGGGGAGCAAGACAGACCGCTCAACCCAGGGTCCCAGCTAGGGGAAATAAAGCCTCAAAACACCAACTGAAAACACGTGTGGAGGTTGAGGTGCCAGGAGTGGCTCTCAGCCTCACAGGAGTTCGTTGAAGAGACCCAAGGGTCCTAGAACATACACAGACCCACTCACACAGGAATCAGCAGCAGAAGGGCCCAATTTTCTTGGGGGAAGCTGAGGAAGGGACTGAAATCCAGCAGAGAGCGGAGCAAGCACCATTGTTCCCTCTCTTGGACCCCTCCCCCACATACAGCATCACAACCCAGTGACTGGGTTGCCCCACCCTGGTGAATACCTAAGGCTCTGCCCCTCACTACATAATAGGTGGGACAAGACAAAAAAATGGCCCAAATGAAAGAACAGATCAAAGTTCCAGAAAAAACACAACTAAGTGATGAAGAGATAGCCAAGCTATCAGATACACAGTTCAAACCACTAGTGATCAGGATGCTCACAGAATTGGTTGAATTTGGTCACAAATTAGATGAAAAAATGAAGGTTACACTAAGTGAAACAAAAGAAAATGTACAGGGAACCAATAGTGATGGGAAGGAAACTGGGACTCAAATAAATGGAGTGGACCAGAAATAAGGAAGAAACAACCAAACGGAAAAGAAAGGAGAAACAAGAATGCAAAAAGATGAGGAGAGGCTTAGGAACTTCCAGGACATCTTTAAATGTTCCAACATCTGAGTCATAGGAGTGCCAGAAGGAGAAGAGGAAGACCAAGAAATTGAAAACTTGTTTGAAAAAATAATGAAGGAGAACTTCCCCAATCTGGCAAAGGAAACAGACTTCTAGGAAGTCCAGGAAGCTCAGAGAGTCCCAAAGAGGTTGGACCCAAGGAGGAACATACCAAGGCACATCATAATTACATTAGCCAAGATTAAAGAGAAGGAAAGAATTTTAAAAGCAGTAAGAGAAAAGGAGACAGTTATCTACAGAGGAGTGTCCATAAGACCATCAGCTGATTTCTCAAAAGAGACCTTACAGGCAAGAAGGGGCTGGAAAGAAGTATCTGAAGTCACCAAAGGCAAGGACCTACGTCCCAGATTGCTCTATCCAGCAAAGCTCTCATTTAGAATGGAAGGGCAGATAAAGTGCTTCTCAGATAAGGTCAAGTTAAAGGAGTTCATCATCACCTAGCCCTTATTATATGAAATGTTAAAGAGACTTATCTAAGAAAAAGAAGATAAAAAAACATGTACAGTAAAATGACAGCAAACTCACAATTATTAACCACACCTAAAACAAAAACAAACTAAGCAATCAACTAGAACAGGAACAGAACCACAAAAATGGAGATCACATGGAGGGTTAGCAACAGGGGAGTGGGGGAGGGGGGAAAAGGTACAGAGAATAAGTAGCATAGATGGTAGGGAGAAAATAGACAGTGGGAGGGTAAGAATATATGGAAAATGTAGAAGCCAAAGAACTTACAAGTATGACACATGGACATGAACTAAAGGAGGGGAATGTGGATGGGAGAGGGTGTGCAGGGTGGAGAGGAGTGAAGGGGGGGAAATGGGACAACTATAATAGCATAATCAATACAATATATTTAAAAAAACAAATTTTAATCATGAAATAAAATTTCTTCCTAAAAAATCTGAGCTAGTACCCTGATCTATGTGGCTCGGTTGGAGAATCATCGTGTAAACCAAAAGGTTTCAGGTTCAATTCCCAGTCAGGGCACATCTAGATTGTGGGTTCGATCCCCAGTGGGGTACGTATGAAAGGCAACCAATCAATGTTTCTCACTCACATGGATATTTTTCTCCTTCTCGCCATCCTTCCCTTCATCTCTCTCTAACATCAGTAAGCCTGTCCTCGGGTGAGAATTAAAAAAATTTGAGCTTGTGATATAACTGAACATAGCTGCTATCCTAGTTTTGATGTAAAGGTTGTTCACACAAAAGATAGAGCTCCATAACATGTATCATCATTTCATACTTTAAATGCTGCCTGCATCCCTGATTTTAAAAGGAAATTAGGACAACATGAGAAATGTAGCACAGCAGAGTTGGTGCACTGAAATAACTTTCAATCACAAGTATGTATTAACCTACACCTTTTAATATACTCTCTAATTTTAATGTTCTTTGATATGTTTTGTTAACAAAAATCAATGGAAAATATTTCCTGTAGATATATATTCTTTAACAAATAAAATATGCTACTTACTTTCTATAAGCAGTTTTTACATTGTAGGAAGCAGCTGAATTCAAAATAGGAATGCCAAGGTCCATATAAATTTGCTTCCATACGGCACCACTATCAATCTGGAAAATTAAGTTTTTATTTGTTAACATTTGCAAAGGGAAATAATCTTTATACTAATCTTCTATGTTCACTAAGAAAATGTATTTATTACCTAAAGTACACACAACAATGAGAGATTAGATGATTTAACTTTTCATCACCTTCTTACTTACATTGTCACATCCACCTTGATGATAAACCAGTCTAAAGAGTTTGAAGAGATTGAGATCTTTATAGCCCAAAACAGGTGGTTTGTTGATTGGAGTACCTATATTTAATACCAGAGGGGAAAAATAACATGTTTATTCAAATGAGAAAATACTAAGTTAAAAAAAAAGCTATCAACTTCTATTTTCTCAAAGTTTATTAATCAGTGGCATATATTTAAGGAACCTTAAATTCTTCGACTATGTAAGACAACACAAAATATTCTCTATAGTCTTTATACTGCATTGTGGTGGTCCTTAGATTTACTTCTACAACTAATAAAATCACCTAACTACAACTGAATTGGGTGAAACTAAATTAAAGCTTAGGACTGCATGGTGTATCCAACAACACTGTGGGATAAAGAAGCTGGGGCAAGAATACACGCAATGAAAAGGGTCATTATTTAGGCCGTGGTTCCATTTTCTTTGCTTTATCACAAATGTTAACACTGTTAACAGTAATCTTAAGGATGATTTCTGAATGCTACAGAATGTCTAGGACAATTTAAGGTTTTCCAGGACTAATGTACTCTCAAAAAGTATGATGATCTATAAAGGTCTACTTCTTCTTTTTTTTTTTTAAAGATTGATTGATTGATTTTTGGGGGGGGGGAGGGAACATCAATGTGCGGTTGCTGGGGGCCGAGGCCTGCAACCCAGGCATGTGCCCTGACTGGGAATCGAACCTGTGATGCTTTGGTTCGCAGCCCACGCTCAATCCACTGAGCTACGCCAGCCAGGGCTTAGGTTCTACTTCTTATAACTTTAAAGCTTTTATTTCTTCTAACTTCTAAACAGAAATCTGATTCTATTTAGATAGGAACTAATCTATTATGCTTAATTTGTTGAGACCAAGGATCAAACTAGTTTACTTGCCAAAAAGACAAAATTAGTTAATCAATGGGTATGTACATTAACATTACAACTGTTCATTTTCTATTACTGACATATTATAATATGTTTTGATTTTATAATTCCTAAGGGAAATTAATTTAGTTATACCAAAACCATTTTCCTATATATTTCTACTAAAAATAGGTATTAATAATGGTTTTTATTGCAAATGCATGAAAGTACCTCTGTCTTCCATAAACTTATAAAGCTGTTGGAGGAAGTTGTCCCTCTCTTCAGGATCAAGTTCTTCCTCAGGCTGTAGAGGTAAAACATATAAATACATGAATGGGATGGGATACATTGTCTTTTTTGTTTTCTGAACTCAATGTAAGGGGATAAAATTTTAATGAAGCTGGAAAGTATAAATTTCCTCAAAATTCAATTCCAGATTTTAAGTCATAGTTTGATGGAGCTGATTTGATACACCTGTCAAAATATACAATCTCCACTCTTCATCCCACTTATTATTCAATCCTGACCCTTCACTATCACCACTAGACCAAGAAAAAGGCTCAGCAGTGAGGTGAGAGCGTTTTCATCTTTCTTGGTATTTTTTTAATCCATTAAAATACCAATTGGTTTGAATAAATACACTGATAGAAGAGCACAGTAATTACTGTATTTTGCCATGTATAATGCGCATGTTTTTGCCCCAATTTTTGAGGGAAAAATAAAGATACACATTATACATGGGTGGTATACAGATACTGATTCTGTATCTATATAAATGTTTTAAATTTTTCTATTTGAGCTTATGTGTTAAAAGTATAACTAGAAAGCAATAATGATATCTGTATGCAAAATAATACCCTGGAATACAATAATAGGTTTTATTTCTAAATATAAATAAATAAAAACTTAAATTAAAAAATTTAAATGAAAGATTTTTTCCCCTGAAAGTCTGGGCCAAAAACTTAGGCGCACATTACACACAGCAAAATATAGTACAATGTATTTATTATAAAAACAATCCACATACAAACACTGAAATTTTGCTATTGTAGAATAAACATTAACCAAAGGCTGCAAAGTCACACGGCAAAGAATTACTTATATAGCACACACACTGTTTTTTAAAAATTTAAATGCCTTTAGATGAGTCATATAAATTCCATTTTGTCCCAGATCTACCAACCCCTGCTTTTCTCATTTGCCTAGCCTTAAAAATTGATTTTTGTGATCCCCCAAAATAAGACAATAAAAATTTTCTTAGGAAAGAAAACTATATAAGTAACTAATATTTTAGTTGGGGGTGGGGTAGGGCAACTAATGGAAACACTCATGTAAAAACAACTATTCTTACACCCATCTGTTACTTTTTACAAATTATATAAACCTAATGATTTCTCCTTATACAGCCAAGGTTTTGGCTCTAATCAAACAAACTGGCTATGGGTTTTAGTAAGATAGTCCCTTCTCTGACACACTACTTCACTTCTAAATTAGTATTTGGGAAAATTCTTATTTAAAATTCATTCAGAATGATATATAACACTGGAGTAGTTTCAGTTTTACCAAATATAAAAAACGTAAGTAAAAGTTCTACTACAGCTCAAAAATTAGCAATTTACAAAGTTAATAGGGGTCATCAGATTGACAGATGGCAGTTTTAATATAAAATTATGTTAACTGTAATTGAAAAATAATTTAAAAAATTAAACATTTATACAAAAAGAGGACAGTCTTTTTCTTCATGTGAATTAAAACATCTTGTTTTTGCAAGGGTATTAAAAATAATTGCTTATTGGGGGAACACTGTCTAACTATGCTGCTGTACACCTGATACTACTACAAAATAATATTGAATATTAACTTTAATTGAAAAAAAAAAAACAAAAAAAACCCAAACTGGAACTTCTGGTCAAGATGAAGGCATAGGCAGGTACACTTTGTATCCTCACACTACCAAAAGGAGGTCAACAACAAATTTAAAAACAAAAAAATAACCAGAACTGACAGAAAATCAAAGTGTATGGAAGTCCAACAACCAAGGAGTTAAAGAAGAAACAGTCATCCAGACCGGGAGGAGGGGTAGAGATGGGCAGCCAGGCGGGGAGGACTCACAGCAAGGCAGTGGCTGGTGGACTGGGTGGTCCGACAATCGTGCGCAGATAAACCGGAAGGAACAACTGGGGAGTGAGACGGACCGCTCAACCCAGGGCTCCAGCTCAGGGAAATAAGGCCTCAAACCTCTGATTGAAAACACCTGTGGGGGATGAGGCGGAAGCGGGGGGAAAAAAAAAAACCTCCCAGTCTCACAGGAGAGTTCATTGGAGAGACCCACAGGGTTTTAGAACCTACACAAGCCCACCTACCAGTAATCAGCAACAGAAGGGCCCAATTTGATTGTGGGTAGTGGGGGAAGTGACTGAAAGCCGGCAGAGGGTGGAGCAAGCAGTACTGCTTCCTCTCTGACCGCACCCCCACAAACAGCATCACCACGCAGTGACGTAGGTTGCCCCGTCCTGGTGAATACCTAAGGCTCTGCCCCTCACTACATAACAGGTGTATGGCCCAAATGAAAATGGCCCAAATGAAAGAACAGATCAAAGCTCCAGAAAAAACACAACTAAGTGATGAAGAGATAGCCAACCTATCAGATGCACAGTTCAAAACACTGGTGGATCAGGATACTCAGAGAATTGGTTGAATATGGTCAACCAATTAGATGAAATTAGATTAAAAAGTGAAGGATATGCTAAGTGAAATAAAGGTATAGAGAACCAAGAGTGATGGGAAGGAAACTGGGACTCAAATCAATGGTGTGGACCAGAAGGGAGGAAGAAACATTCAACGAGAACAGAATAAAGAAACAAGAATTCAAAAAGATGAAGAGAGGCTTAGGAACCTCCAGGACACCTTTAAATGTTCCAACATCCGAATCATAGGGGTGCCAGAAGGAGAAGAGGAAGACCAAGAAATTGAAAACTTGTTTGAAAAAATAATGAAGGAGAACTTCCCCAATCTGGCAAAGGAAACAGACTTCTAAGAAGTCCAGGAAGCTCAAAGAGTCCCAGAGAGGTTGGACCCAAGGAGGAACACACCAAGGCACGTCATAATTACATTAGCCAAGATTAAAGAGGAGAGAATCTTAAAAGCAGCAAGAGGAAAGGAGAGAATTACCTACAAAAGAGTTCCCATAAGACCATCAGCTGATTTCTCAAAAGAGACCTTACAGGCAAGAAGGGGCTGGAAAGAAGTATCTGAAAGTCACCAAAGGCAAGGACCTATGTCCAAGATTGTTCTATCCAGCAAAGCTTTCGTTTAGAATGGAAGGGCAGATAAAGTGCTTCTCAGATAAGGTCAAGTTAAAGGAGTTCATCATCACCAAGTCTTTATTATATGAAATGTTAAAGGGACTTATCTAAGAAAAAGAAGATAAAAAACATGTACAGTAAAATGACAGCAAACTCACAATTATTAACAACCATACCTAAAACAAAAACAAAAATAAACTAAGCAAACAACTAGAACAGGAACAGAACCACAGAAATGGAGATCACATGGAGGGTTAGCAACAGGGGAGTGGAAGGAGGAGAGAGGGGGAAAAGGTACAGAGAATAAGTAGCATAGATTGTAGGTAGGAAATAAGGGGAGGGCAAGAATAGTATGGAAAATGTAGAAGCTAAAGAACTGATATATATGACCCATGGACATGAACTAAAGAGGGGGGTGCGGGTGGGAGAGGGCGCACAGGGTGTAGGAGAATTAGGGGGGTAAAATGGGACAACTATAATAGCATAATCAATAAAACGTATTTAAAAAAATAAATATAAAATTTAAAAATTAATCCAGTAGCCAATTTTAGAAGCTGATTTTAAGGACTTCCAGTACAGGGAAGAAAAACAAAAACACCTTATGCCAGATTGGCTCTATGCTTTGCTTGGCCCTCATAATCACAATATTCTCTCCTCAGGCTAACAACTTACTTCTAGTATTTATGATCATACAGATTCAAATGAGACCATTTTATCCAATATATGTAAAGGCAATTTTTTAAAAGGGCACTGATTTGAAATCAAAGTTTCTTTTCAAACAGGTAAGCAAAATGAAACTGTCAGCTGCAGACTTAGTATTTATTAAGATTATATCAACCATTTAATAAATCCTTAGTGATTAAGAATATAGTTTTATACATAAAAATTGGTAATTTCAATATATATAATTTAAAAGTCAGTGGATATCCAAGAGTATATTAAGTTCCATGAGAAACTATGGACATAAAATTTTAAGTTTAGGTGTAACTAGCAGGTATAAAAATAAGATATAAATGAATAAAGAATTTTACTTATAAACAAATGTCTGCTTGAGATAAAATTTACTTTCTATACACAAAGAAAATGAGGCCATCAACAAAGTTTTAAGTTGACCTGATGGTCTCTGCAAAAAATTAAAATTGCTTAATGTCTTTCCATTAGCAAGATTTACAATCTGTTTTTGAAATTAGCCGTGTTTTTAGTCACATTGGAATAGATTGTATATTTCAGGAAAGATCTCCAACTAGAAGAATGGGCCTTCATGGCTTTTGTTTGGGGGGCTCATATTTACTGTGTACTTTGTCTGTTCATGGTATCTTCACACCTATAGCATGTCTCTCCTCACTGATAGTTAGAAGGTCCTACATCTCTCAAGGGTTTTAGAGCGGGAGACAGCTGTAATAATGGGAGGAAGGGAGTATACTAGACTGCTTATGAGCCTTCTTCCATTCATTCAGTCGAGCACATAAAGAGTAATTATTCTCCTAGTAAAATGGCAGGGAAGGGGGTTAAGGATATAGAAGAGGCATGACTATTTCAAGAAATTTACAATTTGGTTAGCATCAGTATATACCACTGAGTATTACAGACAGTTGTGTATCTATCTATCTACACTACTAGACTATGAATTTTCTAACTTAGGAAACTATACCATATTTTGCTGTGTATAATGCACTATTGTGTATAATGTGCACCCACATTTTTGGCCCAAACTTTCAGGAAAAAAATCTTTCATTTTAATTTTTTAATTCAATTATTTATTTATATTTAGATACTTTTTTGCATTATAAAGGAATTTCAGCATTTATTTTTGAACACACAGATATTGTTATTGCTTTCTGGATTTACATTTTTAACGCATAAGCATAACACACACCCTTACTTTCCCCTTAAAAATTTGGGCAAAAGGGTGCACATTATACACAGCAAACACAGTATATCTTCACTCAGGTGAAACATCCATTGATGGTTACCATGAGTCAGGGACTATGCAAAAGCA